ATAGACGTCTCGGTGTGGTGGAACTCAAACCTCATTTAGGCCATTTTGACTGTGAAGCGCTGGTTTACTGTAGATGATGCAATAGCTCTCTAATGTAAGAAAAAAAGATCACTATGTTATAACCTGTCTCGACCCGAGCCTAAGGAAATTTTCAAGGCCCGGAAGGCCCGGTAGCAAAAATTTTGTCCTTTTGAGCCAAATTTTTAGCTCACAATACAATTTTCTCCATTTTTTTTTGTTTTTTGGATTGCTTATCTGTTTGATCAAAAAATATCAACAAAACTCGAAAAAAATTTTTTGATCGAAAAAAATCGCATAAGGGTCCCCCTTATGTGTTTTTTGAAATTTTCAAAACTTGTGAAATGACAGGCCCGGCCCGTTACAAGTATGGTTTGGAGCAGAAAAAAGAGTGTTGCGCAATATCTTTGTGGGCAGATGGCCTCAATGTACAGTGCGTCAAAGTCATCAGGGGTACGGTAATTTTTTTTCTAGATATCTTGCCGGGAGAAGAAAGAGGTGCCCCCGCAATATCTCCGTCCCCCATATGTCTCGAAGTACTGTACTTTGCCAAGTACTGTGGGAAGATTAGTTTGGTCCGTCGAAAAGTTTTAAAGGAATAGAGAGGGTTGCCGATGGAGTGACTTCTCTTGTTAGATGATGACTCATTTGACAAATCGGATCCTTCATTTTCAATTTTTCCACGTTTCCTACTTTTTGCAAGGTCCGTTAAGAATGAAGAAAAAGAAAAAAGACGTCTGAAGAAGAATGAGTCGCAGCAATGTCTTCGAGAGCACATCGCTTTAATTTACAATACTTTCATAGAATTTGAGTTGACAACGTCATCAGGGGTACTGTAGTTGTGTTTGAGATTTCTTCCCTGGAGAGAAGAGAGAGAGAGAGAGAGAGAGAGAGAGAAAGCTGTCCCATCACCAAATGCCTCGAAGTACCGTACTTAGCCGGCAAATGATTCATGATGGGAGAATTTCTTAATGGCCTAAAAATGCCCTAACATAACCCTGGTGCGTTTTCTAGGTCATTTTAAAGTGGTGGCTTAACTTTTGCAAATTTTTTTTTCTAGGCCACCACTTCTTCATGGCCTAAAAATGCCCTGGCATGGCCCTAGTGTATTTTTAAGGTCATTTTGAAATGGTGGCCTAACTTTTGCAAATTTGGTTTTTGGGGCACCGCTTTTTAATCACCTAAAATGCCCTGACAAGGCCCTACTGTGTTTTACATAGCCTTAAAATGCCCTAACATAACCCTGGTGTATTTTCTAGGTCATTTTGAAGTTTTGGCCTAACTTTTGCAAATTTGTTTTTCTAGGCCAACACTTTTTAATGGCCTAAAAATGCCCTAACATTGCCCTGGTGTATTTTCTAGGTCATTTTAAAGTTTTGGCCTAACTTTTGCGAATTTGTTTTTCTAGGCCAACACTTTTTAATGGCCTAAAAATGCCCTAAAATGGCCCTGGTGTGTTTTCTATTGCCTTAAAATGCCCTAACATAACCCTGGTATATTTTCTAGGTCATTTTGAAGTGGTGGCCTAACTTTTGCAAATTGGTTTTTAGGCCACCACTTTTTAATGACCTAAAATGCCCTGACAAGGCCCTACTGTGTTTAAAAAGCCCTAACATTGCCCTGGTGTATTTTCTAGGTCATTTTGAAGTTTTGGCCTAACTTTTGCAAATTTGTTTTTCTAGGCCACCATTTCTTAATGGCCTAAAATTGCCCTAAAATAACCCTGGTGTATTTTCTAGGTCATTTTGAAGTTTTGGCCTAACTTTTGCAAATTTGTTTTTCTAGGCCACCATTTCCTAATGGCCTAAAATTGCCCTAAAATAACCCTGGTGTATTTTCTAGGTCATTTTGAAGTTTTGGCCTATCTTTTGCAAATTTGTTTTTCTAGGCCACCATTTCTTAATGGCCTAAAATGCCCTAACATAACCCTGGTGTATTTTCTAGGTCATTTTGAAGTTTTGGCCTATCTTTTGCAAATTTGTTTTTCTAGGCCACCACTTCTTCATGGCCTAAAAATGCCCTAAAATAACCCTGGTGTATTTTCTAGGTCATTTTGAAGTTTTGGCCTATCTTTTGCAAATTTGTTTTTCTAGGCCACCATTTCTTAATGGCCTAAAAATTCGCTAACATGGCCCTAGTGTATTTTCTAGGTCATTTTGAAGTGGTGGCCTAATTTTTGCAAGCTTGGTTTTTGGGGCACCGCTTTTTAATGACCTAAAATGCCCTGACAAGGCCCTATTGTGTTTTACATGGCTTTAAAATTCCCTAACATAACCCTGGTGTATTTTCTAGGTCATTTTGAAGTTTTGGCCTAACTTTTGCAAATTTGTTTTTCTAGGCCACCATTTCTTAATGGCCTAAAATTGCCCTAAAATAACCCTGGTGTATTTTCTAGGTCATTTTGAAGTTTTGGCCTATCTTTTGCAAATTTGTTTTTCTAGGCCACCATTTCTTAATGGCCTTAAAATGCCCTAACATAACCCTGGTGTATTTTCTAGGTCATTTTGAAGTTTTGGCCTATCTTTTGCAAATTTGTTTTTCTAGGCCACCATTTCTTAATGGCCTAAAAATTCGCTAACATGGCCCTAGTGTATTTTCTAGGTCATTTTGAAGTGGTGGCCTAATTTTTGCAAACTTGGTTTTTGGGGCACCGCTTTTTAATGACCTAAAATGCCCTGACAAGGCCCTATTGTGTTTTACATGGCTTTAAAATTCCCTAACATAACCCTGGTGTATTTTCTAGGTCATTTTGAAGTTTTGGCCTAACTTTTGCAAATTTGTTTTTCTAGGCCACCATTTCTTAATGGCCTAAAATTGCCCTAAAATAACCCTGGTGTATTTTCTAGGTCATTTTGAAGTTTTGGCCTATCTTTTGCAAATTTGTTTTTCTAGGCCACCATTTCTTAATGGCCTTATAATGCCCTAACATAACCCTGGTGTATTTTCTAGGTCATTTTGAAGTTTTGGCCTATCTTTTGCAAATTTGTTTTTCTAGGCCACCATTTCTTAATGGCCTAAAATTTCGCTAACATGGCCCTCGTGTATTTTCTAGATCATTTTGAAGTGGTGGCCTAATTTTTGCAAGCTTGGTTTTTGGGGCACCGCTTTTTAATGACCTAAAATGCCCTGACAAGGCCCTATTGTGTTTTACATGGCTTTAAAATTCCCTAACATAACCCTGGTGTATTTTCTAGGTCATTTTGAAGTTTTGGCCTAACTTTTGCAAATTTGTTTTTCTAGGCCACCATTTCTTAATGGCCTAAAATTGCCCTAAAATAACCCTGGTGTATTTTCTAGGTCATTTTGAAGTTTTGGCCTATCTTTTGCAAAATTGTTTTTCTAGGCCACCATTTCTTAATGGCCTTAAAATTCCCTAACATAACCCTGGTGTATTTTCTAGGTCATTTTGAAGTTTTGGCCTATCTTTTGCAAATTTGTTTTTCTAGGCCACCATTTCTTAATGGCCTTAAAATGCCCTAACATAACCCTGGTGTATTTTCTAGGTCATTTTGAAGTTTTGGCCTATCTTTTGCGAATTTGTTTTTCTAGGCCACCACTTCTTCATGGCCTAAAAATGCCCTGGCATGGCCCTGGTGTATTTTCTAGGTCATTTTGAAATGGTGGCCTAACTTTTGCAAACTTGGTTTTTGGGGCACCGCTTTTTAATGACCTAAAATGCCCTGACAAGGCCCTACTGTGTTTTACATGGCTTTAAAATGCCCTAACATAACCCTGGTGTATTTTCTAGGTCATTTTGAAATGGTGGCCTAACTTTTGCAAACTTGGTTTTCTAGGCCACCACTTTTCAATGACCTAAAAATGCCCTAACATGGCCCTACTGTGTTTTACATGGCCTTAAAATGCCCTAACATAACCCTGGTGTATTTTCTAGGTCATTTTGAAGTTTTGGCCTAACTTTTGCAAATTAGTTTTTCTAGGCCACCATTTCTTAATGGCCTAAAAATGCCCTAACATAACCCTGGTGTGTTTTCTAGGTCACTTTAAAGTTTTGGCCTAACTTTTGCGAATTTGTTTTTCTAGGCCACCACTTTTTAATAGCCTAAAAATCCCCTAACATGGCCCTGGTGTATTTTCTAGGTCATTTTGAAATGGTGGCCTAACTTTTGCAAGCTTGGTTTTCTAGGCCACCATTTCTTAATGGCCTTAAAATGCCCTAACATAACCCTGGTGTATTTTCTAGGTCATTTTGAAGTGGTGGCCTAACTTTTGCAAACTTGGTTTTTGGGGCACCATTTCTTAATGGCCTAAAAATTCGCTAACATGGCCCTCGTGTATTTTCTAGGTCATTTTGAAATGGTGGCCTAACTTTTGCAAGCTTGGTTTTCTAGGCCACCACTTTTTAATAGCCTAAAAATCCCCTAACATAACCCTGGTGTATTTTCTAGGTCATTTTGAAGTTTTGGTCTATCTTTTGCAAATTTGTTTTTCTAGGCCACCATTTCTTAATGGCCTAAAAATTCGCTAACATCGCCCTCGTGTATATTCTAGGTCATTTTGAAATGGTGGCCTAACTTTTGCAAGCTTGGTTTTCTAGGCCACCACTTTTCAATGACCTAAAAATGCCGTAACATGGCCCTACTGTGTTTTACATGGCCTTAAAATGCCCTAACATAACCCTGGTGTATTTTCTAGGTCATTTTGGAGTTTTGGCCTAACTTTTGCAAACTTGTTTTTTTAGGCCACCACTTTTTAATGACCTAAAAATGCCCTGACATGACCCTGGTATATTTTCTAGCTTCATTGTTTGGTCTAATTTATTTTAGTCTCATCCAACATAGTATTGTAATTCGACTGAATCAAAAGTAGGAAATTTTCCAACTAAAAATAACAAACGATTTTTTACTGAATTTAAGTGTACCAGCTGAATTTTTTATTTTTTAACTCGTGTTTGAAGAATCTAGTTTCTTTTCTCAATTTATCGAGGAATTGTTAATTTTCAAACTTTTCAATTTTCAGACACTATGTCGCGCCCCGGAACCCGATCATCCGGCCAAGGTCTTCTTCAACCACCAGACGCGACGGAAGGGAACGTCACAAAAGTCGTGACAATTTTGCTCCAACGTCTGGAAAACATCGGAAGGTGGAAAGTAAAAAAAATGGCGGATGAGCTCCTGAGAGACGCAGAGAAGGCCACTACCAAAGAACTACAAAACCTCTGGTATATTACCATTGACAGAAAGGTTATTCTACAATTTCAATAGCTAAGAATACGTACACAAAACTCCAAATCAAAATGAAAATAATCATCTTGATTTCAGAATGGAGATCCAGCAGCTCTCGTCGACGTTGGAGATCGCCGCCCGCACTCCGACAGACAACCCGCGACACCGGAAGATTTGACGCATGCGCAGTGGTTTTTCGAGGCGGTTCTGTCAGTTTTCCAGAAGGAAATCAATCGAAGACAACAGTAATATTTTACATTGATTTTTGAGGAATTAACAATATGTTTGCATTATTTCCATTGAAATCAAATTTTTCAAATTTCAGTTTCTTCCCGACGTCTGCGGAGTTTCGGTCTCAATTCCCCACGACCCCCCGGTCCCTGTCAATCCCGGAATTATTTTCGATTGCGAAAGAATTTTCTCCCGAAGGATACAATGGAGGATACGAATTCTTGGAAGATTAAAATTCGTCTTCATTTTCTTTTTCCATAATTCATAAAATGTTGCCAAATACATCTAATAAAATTTCAAAGTTTCATTTTTCGAATCGCCGCTTTCGTTTTGTTAACTGTTGTTTTACAGTTTTGATTATTTTTATGTGTTCCGCTTTTCCCGCGTTTTTGAAAATTTAATTTCATCGAAGTTTCACATTTTTTAAACAAAAAATGGCATCTTCGTCTTCTGGGTAATCACTAGATATGATAGGTTTTTTTTCCTAAGAAAATTTGCAAACATTGCAAGTTTTAGAATTTGGCTTAATTTATCGAAAATCACTGAAAAATCAAAACAAATTTTCATTTTTTTATGAGAAATCGAACTTCAAGATTTTTCTAAATTTTAGGGTTATTACAGGGTGGCTACTAATTATTGACACCGATTCAAGCATTCATAACTCTTCTAAATCTCGATGAAAATATTCAATTTTTTGGATTAGGTATTTTCAGACGCATCTGACAGTCTCAATGCGCCCTTTTTGTTCCTCTCACTTATTATTCGCGTCTCTCGAGTAACCAATGCTCTCTGCGTCTCTCCATCTTTTCTCATTTCCCGTCATGGGCTCCTTGTGCTAATTCGACCTACATTTTTGTGCATTCGAGACCATCTTTCGATTTGATTGTTTTTCGTTTGGCCCCTATCTGAATTATTTCTTTAAAGCTCACCACTCTTCATCAGAAAACAAAACAAGGAACCTTTGCGAAAATTGAGGAAGTGAAAGGTGAGTTTCTACAGTAACACAAGAATGTAAAAAACGGTCGTGGATTTTTGAAAAAAAAAGGTCTGAAACTCTTCAAATGATCTTAGTAATTTGGAACATACTCATAACTAGACGGAAATTCAGAATAAAAACTTGTTTTTTAATGTAGTAATTTTCAATCTAAATCTAAATAAAAATTAATTCTCTGAATTTGAAAAAAAACGCCGGCTCAAAATGTAAAAGATTGGGTCGCATCAGAATTTATATGAGGTTCGCTGAATTAACTTTCTGTTGAGACTACTAAAAAATCGAAATATCTCTTTTTCTCAGTTAATATTTCTGAGGTTATTACACTACTTTTGTTTTTTTTTGGGCCAGCTCTGGGAATTCTCGGAATTTTCGGAATGCCAAAATGTCCGATTTCAAGAATTTCGGGACTTCGGAATTTAGGAATATTCCGGTTTCGAAAAACTCGGATTTTCGAAATTTTTAAAAATCAAATTTCATTTTTGCATCACAAAAACGCCGAAAATAAGCGAATCTTTTGCAAAAACATTATGAAAAAAAAATTGGACGTAGTTCTGTCCGCGAGAATTTTTTTTCCAAAAAAAGCCTCGGAAATATTCCGGTCGGAATTTTCCCGAATCCCGTTCCTGTGGCGAATTTGCTTTCCGGCTATGCTCAATTGTGTTTCAATTTGTGATAGACGTCTCATTTATAGGTTTACTGTAGTTGATGGAATAACTCTCCGATGCAATAAAAAAGAATATCACTATGTTATAACCTATTTCGACGTATCATACATATTCTCTGTTGATGACGTCATCAGGGGGTACGATAGTTACTTTTTTCTTTCTTGGAGAAGACAGAAAAGGTGTCCAAGCTATATTTTTGCCACCATCAGAGACTTCAACGTGCCGTACTCTGCTACTAATTGGGGAATGGGCAGAGGATTAGTGAGGTCAATCTGAGAATGTCGGAAAAATTAATGAGCGACCCTTGGGTAGACTGGTGTTTGATGCAGATGTCTAAAAAAGTTGGTGCCGTCGCAGGAATAGAAGTTCCCTCGTCTATATATTGGTTGTCTTTTCTGTTTAGATCATGATTTTTCGTACTTGAAAACCCCTCGATTCTCCTTTCCATTGGAGTAGAAGAAGAAATATCTTAGCAATAACCTTGGTGCAGATTCCTCGAAGCTGGTGGGCCTGTTTCTCCGTCTTCTCTCTCGTCTCATAGAGAGCTAGGGTTACTGTGGATCATGCAATAACCCTCTGATGCAATAAAACAAAACCTCACTATGGTAAGACGTGTTTCGAAGTACCATACTTTGAGAGACTGTGTCGGTGACATCATTCGGGTTACGGTAGTTTTCTTGGAATCGTCGTCTGGAGCAGTAAAAGGAGTGTAGTGTAATATCTTTGTTTGCAGATCGCCTAAAAGTAAATTCGTTCAATAGACTATGTCATTAGGGGTACGGTAGTTGTTTCTATAGATTTCTTGCCAAGAGAAGAGATAGTGGTGTCCCAACAATCCTTCATCACCCAGATGACTCGAAGTACCGTACTTTGCCAATGACGGTGACAGGATTAATATCGTTCATCCAAAAATTTTCAAAAAGAAAATAAGTTTGTCGATTTTCTGACGGGGTGTTAATTGTGAGCAGTTGAAACAATTAATGTTGTTGTGAAAGTGTTCTCCTCAATCTCCTGTTTGTTTGTTCGTTCTTTTCCTTTTTAGATAATGTCATTTGACAAAGGGAATCTTTCATTTCCATTTTTTCCATGCTCTTCATCAATTGCAAGGTCCATTAAGAGCTTAAGGTTTCACAATTCTGAAGTTATAATGTTCAGCTTCGAATGTTTTTGTCTCTCTTGTCGGTGGATTTGAAAATAGCGGTTTCTCTTCTGAATTTGTTTTTTCTTCTCCTAGTCCACTGGAAAAATGATTGAAACTACAATTACCACAGTTTCCAAGTTTTTTTAAACAATTGACTGTTATTTTTCTTTCCGTTCCCTCATCCAGCTACAGTATCCAGTCATTTTGGTTTTTTATGATCAAAGGGTTTTATGATCAGAAATTTTATGATCAGAGGGAAGTTTTGCAAAATATTTTCTCTAAATATTGTTGATTTCATCTTTTCCCATTCGACTACTGTATCTTTGCCTTTTTTCTGCGGTCTATTTTTTGAAATTGAGTTTTTTTCCCATTTCACTACGGTATTCTCATCTTTTTATTCTTATATGATAAGAATGTTAATTTGAAATGACCGTCTCTCTTTTAAATTCGGATTCCACAGATTCCTTGAATTGTCGTTTTCCAATAGACTTGGGGTTAATGACGTCATCAGGGGTACGATAGTTGTGTTTTAGATTTCTTCCCTAGCGAGGAGAGAGAGAGAAAGGTCACCAAATGCCTTGAAGTATTGTACTTTGCCATCAAATGGTCGAGGATCAGTTTGGTCCATCCGAAACTTGAAAAAAAGATGTCGTCGATAGACTGACAGGGTGTGAATTGTGAGAAATTGTCTGAAAAACATTATTGTAGTCGTGAAAGTGTTTTTCTCAATCTTTGTTTGTCTTGCCTTGTTAGATGATGACTGATAGTCATTGGAAAAATGGGATCCTTCGTTTCCAACTTTCCAAGTTTCTTGCCGTACTTGCAAAACTCATCAGGAAAACCTGGGTAAAGAATTTGCAATTTTGAGATTCTAAAATTTAGATGTTCTAGGACCCTCTCCCTTCGTTTCAAAATTGCGCACCAAAATTTTTTTGAAGGCAAGAATTCCTCTGATTACTAGAGCCTAGTTTTTATCCCCAAAACTACATCTTTCGTACCCATTCATTGCTTGCAAACTTTTCTCGTTTTCTCTTCTAATTGAAATAACATTTTCAGTAATACAATTCTTCAAGGAGTTTCCAACAATGGATGAAACAGTCAACAGCGCTCCAGATGGGGTCCAAACTCCAGGTGAGACAAAATTTTTCACAATTTGGGTTTCAAAGTCAATTCGAAACCAAATGTATTAAATTTTTTTTCAGAAACTATGACGCTCCAAAGGAAGACAGCCTTGAAAGTCGGAAGGCTCGAGCGTCAGAAAAAAATTCAAAAGAAAAAAATGCAGAATTTGAAAACCGTTCAAAAGATGCATTTAAAAAGGACAAATATTAATAATCCATCCTTCTTGAATGATTTCACAAGCCGTTTCCAAGAAGAGCAGAACTCCCTCGACTTGATTGAGGAGAATCTTCAGAAGACGTTGAAAAACGAAGGAAATTCAGATTCGGAAATCTGGCAACCGTCTTTGCTCTCGAAAGAGCATATTTATGAATATGAGGACGCTCCAGATTTTTTGGCTCCGGAGCAACGGGATCTACAAAAAAGGAAGAGAACTTCAAGAGTTCGGTTCGCTGGTGAGTTTAGGATTATTTTTCTGAATATTTTGAGTTTTTTTTCAATTTGGAAGAAATTGATTTTTTTTTCAAAAAGGAAAAGCTTAGAAACGAACATACCTTAAAGAATGAAAACCATAACTCATTAAATATCAACCAAAAAAAAACTTTTGAAAAAAAAAATAAATTTAACTTTCCAAACTACAAGGTATTTGAATGGAAAACAAATTGTTTCTAAGAGTTTTTTTGAAAATACTCTGTAAATCAGGAATTCAATTGGAAACGTGGAAACCAAAATTTCAAAAATTTAAACCATTGGAATTCGGCTTCTGGTACTCTGAATGTCAAACACTTTCCAATTTGTTACTTAAAAGTACATGATCGGGAGTGTATAATTCAGAAATTCTGGAAATCAAAATTTCAAAAATTCAGAAAAAAACTGATTGAAAGTTTTCAAAATTTTGAATATCAAAAGTTCGTAAATTTGGGTACCTTTGGAATTTCAAAAACCCCTTTTTTCAGAATATGACAGCGAAAAGAACCGCATGCGACTTTTCGTGAAAAAAACGAACGAAATGGATCAAGAAGCGACCGATTCTCCATATTTCGATTTTATGGACTTCAGTCTCCGAGAAGGATCACTTGAATGTCAAAAACTTGACTATCCATTGATTGGAAGAATAGAAAAAATGAAAAAACTATTTGCTCGAAGAGTGAAAGAATACAAGGAAGTTATTCCACGGAGATTGACCGAAGATGCGTATAGTTGTCAGTTTTTTTTTGTTGTTTATTAAAATTTTGAATTTTTGATATTCAGAATAATTGAAGTTATTGAATTCTGAATATTCAAAATTTTGAAATTCTGAATTTCTGTATTTCTGATTTTTTTGGAATTTTTATGAATTGCAACTTTTCAAAGAATAGAAATTCAGTTAAATTGAATTGTTTGAAATTGCTCCTTCTAAGAAAAATGTTTACTTTAAATTTGAAAAACTTTTCAAATAATCAAAGAAAAAAATTAATCTAATTAATTTAACTTAAGAAATTTAGAAAACTCGGACTTACAAAAATTTTTAAATCTAGAAAAATATAATTTTAGGAATCGAGCTTTCAAAACTTTTCCCAATTGTTGAACTTCTAAAATATCCATAACTTGTATTTTTGAATGGTTCGAGTTTTAGATCGTTTGAATTTTTGGGATTTTCGAAACTTTGAATTATCTGATTTTCCAAATTTCAAATTTCTGTATTTCTAGGAATTTCTTTGACTTTTCAAAATGTTGGATTTATGAGTTTCTGAACTTCAAATTTCTAATTTTCAGATAATGTCGGATGGCAAGGAAATATTCTTGGAAGGTTTTGGTATCTCCGAGAAGAAGATTACACTCGCCATCAAGACACACGATTGCTTAATGGAATTTTGGACCAATATACAGAGAATGAGGTAATCATTTTTCAATGATTTTCAGCTATTTTTTCTTAATTTCTAAAAATGTGTAAAGGCGAAGCTTACACATTTCACTACATAGTACACCAATTTTCTGTATCTCTTTAAAAAGTTAAGATAATTAAAGCTAGTTAAAAAAATAACTAAATATTTTTTTGAGATCTCATAGTTTGGTTCAGTTCAGCTCTAAAAGAAAATTTGATTTTTATGGGGTTATTCATGTAGCGAAAGTGTGTATTTCAAAACGATACATTTCGGTGCCACCGAAATGTATTGAAATTTATTTCGCGACACTCCTGCATTGACTTTCGGTGCAGACTTTCGCTACATGAATAACCCCATTAGAATTGGAAAAGTTTCAGAAATTCATAATTTCAAAATTATTTTTCAGCTCGCTGAATGCTATCAGTACCTGGCGAAAAGTTCCAAAGCTGCTTTCAGCCGGTATCCTCAATTTGAAGGAAAAGCAGCATCGTAAGTTTTTTTTCCTCTTCATTTGGAACAATTGAAAATTGGTTCAAACTTTCGATAATTTCCACGCAATGGCTTAACATGAACTTTGTATTTTTTTTAGGTGGTGGCCTCAAAAACTCAATTTGCAAAAGTTAGGCCGCCAGGTTAAATAGACCCAAAATGTCAAAATGCCAGAATTTTCAGTTTTCTAAGATTCCTCATTTTCTTGGAATATTGACGTGGAATGAAATCATTTTGGATTCTCAAAATTTGAAATGTGTTCGAAAAACCAAGTTTTTAATTGTTCTAGTTTTCGGAAAAATCTGAAAATCTTAAATTTCTTGTTTTTCAGAGTCAAAGGAGTCCTTATTTTGACCAATTGGCGATTGTTCTTTCTAGATCACAAATGCCTGACCAACGCCCTCGTACAGTATCTTCCAACTCATGCTGGAAGAGGCTTTTGGTGAGTTTTTCCTTTTTGAATTTTTTTTTTTCATTTCCTTTCTGCAATTATTGAAGCCGTTGTCAAAGTTCCCATTTTACTGTTTAGAAGTCGATACTTCCAGTTCGAAAAAATTTTTCTGAGTTTTTCCATCAAAACGTTTCCGGAACAAAATTACAAAATTTTATTATTTCAGGAAAACCATGACCGAATTTGTGATCCAGCTCATTCTTGATGCCACGATAAGCTTCCACACAATAATTTTCGCCTTTGGAGGAGCTCCAAACTTTGAAAAATCTGATTTTACAGAGTGGGTTATTTAAAGTTTCCTAAAAAAGCGGATTTGGATTAGATTTTTGAAATAATCTTTCTCAGAATTATTCCTTTTGTTTTTTTAAAGAATTGATTCTTGGGAGTTTTCAGAGATTCGAAAAAAAAGATTCTCAGATTTCCAAAAATTTATATTTCTTCTTTCAGGTTCTTCCAAAATCTTGCCGCCTACACCTCGACGACGTACGAAGTCTGCTGGATTGCTCAGGATTGGTTGGATGGATTGGTGAGAAGTTTTTTTATTTATCAAAAAATATTTTAAAAATTTTATGTTAAGAAATTCAGTAATTCGGAAATTCAGATGTTTAGAAAATTGGAAATTGAGATATTCAGAAATTCGGAAATTCAAAAATTCAAAAATTCAGAAAATCAAAAATTCTGAAAATCAGAAATTCTGAAATTCAGAAATTCAGAAATTCAGAAATTCAGAGATTCAGAAATTCAGAAATTCAGAAATTCAGAAATTCAGAAATTCAGAAATTCAGAAATTCAGAAATTCAGAAATTCAGAAATTCAGAAATTCAGAAATTCAGAAATTCAGAAATTCAGAAATTCAGAAATTCAGAAATTCAGAAATTCAGAAATTCAGAAATTCAGAAATTCAGAAATTCAGAAATTCAGAAATTCAGAAATTCAGAAATTCAGAAATTCAGAAATTCAGAAATTCAGAAATTCAGAAATTCAGAAATTCAGAAATTCAGAAATTCAGAAATTCAGAAATTCAGAAATTCAGAAATTCAGAAATTCAGAAATTCAGAAATTCAGAAATTCAGAAATTCAGAAATTCAGAAATTCAGAAATTCAGAAATTCAGAAATTCAGAAATTCAGAAATTCAGAAATTCAGAAATTCAGAAATTCAGAAATTCAGAAATTCAGAAATTCAGAAATTCAGAAATTCAGAAATTCAGAAATTCAGAAATTCAGAAATTCAGAAATTCAGAAATTCAGAAATTCAGAAATTCAGAAATTCAGAAATTCAGAAATTCAGAAATTCAGAAATTCAGAAATTCAGAAATTCAGAAATTCAGAAATTCAGAAATTCAGAAATTCAGAAATTCAGAAATTCAGAAATTCAGAAATTCAGAAATTCAGAAATTCAGAAATTCAGAAATTCAGAAATTCAGAAATTCAGAAATTCAGAAATTCAGAAATTCAGAAATTCAGAAATTCAGAAATTCAGAAATTCAGAAATTCAGAAATTCAAAAATTCAGAAATTTAGAAATTCAAAAATTCAGAAATTTAGAAGTTTAGAAATTCAGAAATTTAGAAGTTTAAAAATTCTGAAATTCTGAAATTCTGAAATGCTGACAAAAAGTTTTCTCACCATTTTTGTTTCTGAGTAAAAATAGAAGTTTTCGATAATAATTTCGAAAAAAGAAAGTGTGTTTTTTTTCAGCCATCAAATCAAGAAGATAAGCAAAATTTGGATGATTTCAATAATCACACAAAGGAACTCTTCGATGCGAAGAATTCGACTAGACAGACGTGAGTTAGAGCTCTAGAAATTTAAATTTTAAACTTAAAAATTGGAAATAAATCAAATGTTTCATTGAATATGGAACTTTTTTAGAGCAAAAACACCAACGTGTGGGCTCTTTTCTAATTTCAAACTCACAAAAACAATCGGAGGTCCCAAAATAAAATAGAGGTCCGAAAAAAATTAGATGTCCCAAAAAAGTTCAGAGGTCCCGAGAAAAAATAGAGATATTTGAAAAACGCACAGATGTTGGAAGATGTTTCAAATTTTTAACTAAAATAAGAATATTTGTTTTAAAATTTTCACATTTTAAAAATGACTTTTTTAGACTAGAAATTAGAATTTTTGGGTTAAAAACTTTGAAATGTTGAAAAATTTATTTTTCGAATTCTCAAAAATATGTTGTTCACAATCTAAATATCGGAAAAACTGAGAGTTTTTGAGTTTTTGAAAATTATGAAATTAAAGTTTTTCTTATATTAGAAATTTCTATAAATTTTCGGATTTTTAAAGTATTTTTTTTCGAATTTTTCGAAGGGTTCGGGTTTAACAATGTCTAATTGTGAACTGAAAATTGATATTTTTTGTTTAAAAATGCCATTAGGTTTCAATTTTTTCAGATCGAAAATATTTCTCTATTGAATCTGAATATCGAGGGAAAGTTTGATAGTTTTGAAACTAGAATTTTAATATTTTATGACTTTGAAAATTTGGAAATCTAAAAACCTGGAACCTCGGAATTTTGGAATCATAAACTTCCGAAATTTCAAAAATGTCTTTTTTTTTAGTTCTTTACAAATTTCTGAATTTTTGTATATATTTGGAACTTCCAATTTTTTTCGAAATTTTTTGGAATCTTTAAACTTTGAATTCCTGGTGTTTCCTTTTTTCAAAAAAATGATTGCAAGAACTTTCCAGCAACTACAAATGGGGCAACATCAACAGTCCAGGAATTCCACCAACAAACATGGACTGGCTGGGAAATGCGAATCAAGTGAGAGTCAAAACAATCGACCTTGAAAAGCTGTAGGTTAGAAATTTTGCTTAATTTAGAATTTTCGAGCCAAATATTCGAAAATTTGAACCACAATTTTGAACCGTTTTATCCGAAATTTCATTGTTTTACTGAAAAAAAAAATGGAAATTAGAGCACGTTCTGTGTAGAAATAGACTTCAAAAAATTTTCTAGTGTACAGAAAAATTCAAACTAGTTTTTATGCACTGATATTAAATGGATAGTCGGTAAATTCGAAGTTGAAAAATGTACATTTGGTTTGGATCCCCGGTACTGTCCCAGCGGTGACCAATTCCGGTCGAAATATTTTTTTCAGTACTAACATCGAACTCAATTTCGAGCTCAAAAATTGCTCAAACACTTGCGACATGATTACAAACGTTTCTGTAATATTTCCAATAAACTTAGCTGCAAAATCCTACCCATGGGGACATTTTTATTCATTATTTATTTCAAAAACCCAACAAATCACGAAAATTTCTGAAAAAATTTTTACTAAATCATGAAAAAACTAATCAAAATTTGTGTAAACTGTCTGTTTCGAGACTACTTTCACTATTTCGATTAAAACATTTCCACTATTTTTTCCTGAAAAGCTGGAGATTTTTGACGGTGATGCTATCGCTATGAAGCGGTGCGCAGAAAGACTTTTGGTTACTGTAGCCCTAATAAACTTGACTGCTATTTGATTTTGCGAGCACATAGGTTTTGGGATGCTGAATCGAATGGCATTGACTGTTTTTCTCTACGTTTTTCAGTTTTTCTGAAAACCTCAAAAATAGGGTAGTGCTATCACTATGACGTGCACTCTATTATTTTCTCCTGAAATTAAAAAATTTGCAGCTACAATTGCTACATCCGTCACTTTGTGGACAATTGCAATTGTTATCCATCGTCGAAGTACTTCATCGATAACACTCCAATTATCGATGATTATGCTTATAACGACTCAAGATTCCCACTGAGACTAGGGCCAGCGGATGTTCAGGACGATTCGAGAGCGATACAAACTGAAGAATTACAAAATGAACCTTCGTACTGAACAACAGATATATGTATATTGTTTTTGCTTTTTTCTAAAAGATATTATTTTCTATTTTTTTTTTCTCCCAAAAACGTTTAATGTTTTCTTCCTATTCCGTAGATCTTAAAACTAAAGAAAACACTTTATTTTCTATGTTCCTTCTGTCATACGTAATTTTAAAATCTCTTTTTTATGTATTTTTCAATAGTGAAAATATTTTGGACCCATTTTCTGACTTCTTCTTATTTTTTTTCCAATTTCGCATTCTTCAACATTACTTTACTTTTTATATTACTTTTCATTATTTTTCTGACAAACCTCATTTTTTCGTTTCCGGTATCTAGTATTCGAATTTTTTTTTGCGATAAATAAACTAGAGCTTTGACTTTGTAGTGGACAATATCTTTGTAGAATTTCAACAGTTTCCATCAGTTTTCAACAGAATTAATCTCACTAGATTGTTTTCGTTCTGCAAGAGTACTCCGTTAAAAAAAACTGATCCGGGTGCATAGAAGGTTGACACTTTTTATCGCAACCGAAGTTACTTCGAAGTAAATTTCAAAATCTTCGACTTTTAATTCGCGGTTTTGGTGTTCGAATTTCGCGTCGTCACCATCTCCTTCCCTCACTCTATTTTTCTTGTTTTTCTCCCCAGCAAGCAGTGCTTTCCCTCCGCGGACACCTCACCACAGCGCTTCATCGTCTCTTTCGCTCGTTTTCCACAGAACCTAATGTCTGTGTCTCTGAGAGACGCAACGCTATTTTTATTTTCAAACGACTCTTGCTGTTCTTTCGTGGGCATCCACGAAACTGCCTCCTCTCTTTTTCGTGTGTCTCGTCGTTTTCTCGACCTCTCATCGTCCTTCTTGCCATTTGTCTTTTTATCGAGAAAGCGAGAAAGAAATTGAACGGGGCGCAACTGCATCAAGTCAGAATAAGGCGTGGTTTCGCGGGCCTAAATTCCTACTTTCATGCATTATCTCTCTTAGGGAATGCAAACCGACGTGATGGTGATAACAGATTTAAAATTTCAATTAAGTGCTTTATGTGTCAAATGCTGTTTTGGCACCAAAATTTTAGGCACAAAATTTCGGTGTTAAAATTCTGTGATTTTTCCCTTATTTTTTCCAAATTAAAGTGTTTTTATTCACAGCGAATCTCTCCAATAACATATGACACCCACCAGAAAACATAGGAAGATTTTTAAAAAATTGAAAACAATTCCTACAGTATCCAAAAAGTGGATATCACTAAAACTTTAAAAAAAACGTCCAAGGTTCCATCGACGGACTCTCAAAACAAATGCAATACTTAATTTTTTTTTTATTCGAAAATCATAAGCCCTTTTTTCGTTTTGAACAAATCGTGCCAAAAAATTTCAAGTATCTAAAAAGAAATTTTAAACGAAACCTTTGGCACGTATTCTTGAATTTTGTTGAGTTGGGCCTGAAAATCCATTTAATTGAACCAAGTTCGTCTTTAAAAATAATATTTCCTCCTATTCTCTTTTTCTTTTTCTCTTTCTTTACTTGTTTGAATTCTTTTTTTGTTCTGTGCAAAACCATGATTCAAATTTCGCGCGTTCTTCACCTGCCACCGAAATTTCTCCAGAATGGGCGGAGCTTCCGGCCCACTCGGTCAGCGTTCTTTTCCTACTTGTATGATCAATTGCATGTCCACAAGTCTGACACAATCCCGATGAGCCCTTTTTGTACCTCTCGCATACTATGCGCGTCTCTCGAGTAACCAATGCTCTTTTCACCTCCGATCTCTTCTAGGGGCGGAGATTGCGCAGAGATCTCTGCGTCTCTTAACCTTCTATCATCTCCTATCTTGGACTCCATATGTCATATCTACCTACATTTCGGTGCATTCGAGACGATCTCTCAATTCGATTTGTTTTGTTTTTCTTCTATTTGAAATATTATCATTTGCAGCTCACAACTCTTCTGCAACAAGGAATCTTGGCGGAACTAAAGGAAGTGGCAGGTTAGTTTCTACCTTAATCCGGGAATGTTAAAAACCGGCCTAGATTTTGAAAAAAGAATCTGAAACTCTTCGAGTGACCTTAGTAATTTGGAAAATACAAAGTTATAACTAGAACGAAATTCAGGATGAAAATATGGTTTTAGATGTAGGGATTTTAAATCTAAATTTTGGAAAAATGTTCTGAATTAAAAAAAAACGCTGGCTCAAAATTTAAAAACCCGGCTATGGCCCGCCCCGGCCCGGAATTTGACAAGTATGATTTTTTTTTCGGATTTCTTGCTTGGAAAAGACATAAAGGTTTTAACGCTATATTTTTGCTACCACTCAGATGCCTCAACCTGCCCTACTCTGCTACTAATTGGGTCTTGGTTAGAGGATTAGTGAGGTCAATCCGAAAATGTCGGAAAATTAATGAGCAACCCTCGGATAGACTGGTTTTTGTTGCATGCGGATGTCTACAAAGGTTGGTGCCGTCGCTTGAATAGAAGTTCCTTCATCCATATTTTGGTTTTTCTGCTATCTAGATGAAGATTTCTTGTACTGGAGAACTCACCTCCATGATTCTCCTTTCCATGTAGTCCCGGATGTTATTTCATTTGCTGTCTGGAGCAGAAGAAGGGTTTTCCTAGCAATAACCTTCCCCCAGATTCGTTGAAGCTGGTGGGTCTGTTTCTCCGTCTTGCTCATGGAGAGCTAGGGTTACTGTAGATGATTTCAACAGCAGGAAATTCTTATAAGTTCTGATGTATTTGCTTCTCCGTTTTCTCTCTAGTCTCATGAAAAGCCAAGGTTACTGAAGATTATGCATTAGCCCTCTGATGCAATAAAACAGAATCTCACTATGTTAGCACCTGTTTCGAAGTACCATACTTTGATAGGCTGTGTAGATGACGTCATTCGGGTTACTGTAGTTTTTTTGATATCACGTCTGAAGCAGAAAAAAAGGTGTTGCGCAATATCTTTGTGGGCAGATCGCCTCAATGTACAGTGATTTCATAGACGTCGACGTCATCAGGGGTACGGTAGTCGAAGTACCGTACTTTGCCAATTACGGTGGGAGGATTATTTTGGTCCATCAAAAAATTTCAAAGGAATAGATAGGTTGCCGATGGACTGACCACGTTTTGACAAACGCACCACTCATTATTTTTTGGCCAACTTAATACTACTACTACTACAGTACATTCGTCTTGTACATATTCACAATTGACTTTTTCCCTTTCTTTTCGTTTTTTTCATCCAACTACAGTATCCAGGCATGTGGGTTTTTTTTCTGATGGGAGGGAATTTGTAAAATGTTTTATGATCAAACATTTTATGATCAGAGGGAAGTTTTGCAAATTTTTTTTACAGAATATTGTTGATCTTTTCCCATTTCACTAGAGTATCCTCGCCTTTTTTTTCTTTATGGGCTTGGGAAAGATTCGAATATGGCAGCTTCTCTTTCAAAATATTTGTTTTTTCTTTCCTCCTTATTGACGACAGTGTCAGTGAGGTTCCAAATTTCCTTTCTTTTGTTCCGGGAGTCTGAAACTTTCAAATGTAGAGTATTTAAAATTCTGAAGTTACCAGTAAAACGCCTGAAACTCTGGATTACCTGAATTCTAGAAAACTGGATTTCGTGAAAAAATTTCGAAATTTTTAATTTTTAACTTCCAAGGACATTTTTTGAAATTGGGATGCACAGATTGCAAATTTGTAATATTTCTCTTTCTGAGTTTTTCCTTCCACGTAGCTCCAAAATTGTGTTTCCTTGATTCGATAGTTGCAAAAATTGCTAACGTTATTCACAGTTTTTATGTTTTTTTTCACCCAGCGATAAGCTTATTGTTAGGAAATTCTTATAAGTTCTGATGTATCTGCTTCTCCGTCTTCTCTCTAGTCTCATGAGAAGCCAAGGTTACTGAAGATTGTCCATTAGCCCTCTGAAGCAATAAAACAGAATCTCACTATGTTAGCACCTGTTTCGAAGCACCATATTTTGATAGACTCTGTGGACCACGTCATCCGAGTTACGGTAGTTTTTTGGATGTCGTCTTAAACAGAAAGAAAGGTGTTTTAGCAACATTTTTTCGAATAGATCTTTTCATAGTACGGTATTTTAATATTGACTAGACAACGTCATTAGGGGTACGGTAGATGTCTATGAGGTTTATTCCCTGAAGAAGAGAGAGAGAGAGAGAGAGAGAGAGAGAGAGAGAGAAAGAGAGAGAGAAAGAGAGAAGAGCAATATCACCCAGAAGCCTCGAAGTACTGTACTTCGCCATCAAATGTTTCACGGTAGGAGGATTAGTTTGGTCCATCCGAAACTTAAAAAAACATATAAGATTGGAGATGGTCTGACAGGGTGTGAAATTGAGAAACAATTGTTTGAAAAACATTCGTGTAGTCGTAAAGTGTCCTCTTTCATCTTTTGTTTGACTTTCATTGTTAGATGCTGATTATCGCTGCTAATATGACGGATGGGATCTTTCGTTTCTCATTTTCCCACGTTTCTCGCAAGGCCCATTAAGAAAACCTGGAGCTGAAAATTTACAATTTTAAGATTCTAAGATTCGAACGTTCTAGGATCCAGAAATCTTGAAATCTTGTAAGTTGAGAAACTCTGAAGATTATTTTAATTTTTCAAATTCTCATGTTTTGAGATTCTGAAATCCTCAAGAAAAACCGGAAAATTCTAAGGATTTCTTTAAAATTTCTAATGTCAATATTTGGCCAAATTTTACGTTTATTGACGCCTTTCATATTTCTATCTCTGATATTGTGAATTCCTTGTTTAGTAGTATTATTATGCACTTATCTCATGCTCTGTCGCTATACATTGCGATCAATATCTATACGACCCCTCTAGATTTTGGGCGCACAGAAAAAACTACAAAAGATATCAAAAAACGGTAAACTCCATTCGATTCACAATCAAAAATAACCTCAAGAGACGAAGTTTCATAATTTTAGCACTTTCCCTGAACATGCACATTCCAAAAAACCTATTTGCAAGCGGTCAATATCTATACGACAACCTGGAAAATGAAAAATCTCAAGTATTTTAAAGAGTAAAATTGAACTTTTTTTTGTTGGAAGCTGTTAAAATAGTCCTAAAACAACACATTTTGACAGTTTATACAAAAATTGATTCCTCTATTCAAGTTTTAGAAAAAATTATTTCCAGTCATTTTCGTCATTTTTCAGATTTTCGGAATAAATCTTGGATAACTTAGCTCCTGGGTAAGATTTTGAGCTGAAATTTAAAGGGAAAATTTTAGTGAGGATCATGACTATGTTGCAAGTGTTCAAAGCTTTTTTGAGCTTCGGAAACTTGAATCTGAGCTCGAGTTTTGAGCTGAAAAACATATACCCAACGGAATATTTTTCAAAGCTGTCTAAAAGGTTTGAAAGATGTTCTAAATAGTTTAAATTGTCATCAAAATTGTTATTTTGTACTGAAAATCGTATTTCAATGGTTATATCAAGTTTTTTTCTCAAAAATCAGAATCACCAAAATTCAAAGTCAATTTTTCGAATTTCAGTTCAGCTTCAATAACAAACAATGGCGCAGAATAACATAACAACAGTTAGTACATAATTGAGACTACTGCAAAAGTAATTCCTATCAATTTCAGCTCAAAATTATACCCAGGAGCTAAGTTATCCAAGATTTATTCCAAAAATCCGAAAAATGACGGAAGTGACTGAAAATAATTTTTTCTAAAACTTGAATAGAGGAATCAATTTTTGTATAAACTGTCAAAATGTGTTGTTTTAGGACTATTTTTACAGCTTCCAATCAAAAAAAGTTCAATTTTACTCTCTAAAATACTTGAGATTTTTCATTTTCCAGGTTGTCGTATAGATATTGACCGCTTGCAAATGGGTTTTTTGGATGGTGCATGTTCAGGGAAAGTGCTGAAATTATGAAACTTCGTCTCTAGAGGTTATTTTTGATTGTTAATCAAATGGCGTTTATCGTTTTTTAATATCTCTTCTAGTTTTTTTCTGTGCCCCCAAAATCTATGGGGGGGGGTCGTATAGATATTGACCGCACTGTAGAAAATTCTGAAAACGGTGGCCTCGCTTTTTTTAATTCATTTTTTCTCATCAGTATCCTGACCTTTCTGTTCCTGACCAAACAGTATCCTGACCTTTTTCTTTGCATACATAAGTGAGCCTTTCGATAATGGCGGAATGTTTTTTAAAGATCACTCTCTGATTCGAATACAGTACCCTGACATTCTTGTTTCTTTGTGCAAATAAACATCCGCGCGTTGCGTGTGAAGGATATCTTCATTCTACAGAAAACTTTAAAACTGGACTGTTTGACGATAGCTCACCTTTGGAAATTTTTTTCAGTTTTCCGCAAGAAGTTTTCAGTTTTCCCCCAAGAAGTTTTCAGTTTTCCCCAAGAAGGCTAACAAGGGAGCCACAACACCTCGTCACCTCAGCTTTTGAGGAAATTTCCGGATAGGTCAAGGAAAGCTTATCTAGATATCCCTGAGAACATTGAAACACTCTCGCCAGTTTCAGCCGAGATATTTCAGTCCAAAATTTCAGTATTGATTTCAGTTCATTTGCATGCTTTACCACACGTTTCCTCTCCGAATTCCTTACGAGAGAAGCTTAAAGAGAAGCTAACATCTAACCGCCTTTCAAATCAGTTGAAAATGTGGGCAGCGTAGTGTCGGGGATGTGGTGTGCGCCAGTGATCACAGGGTTGTGGGTTCGTCCCCTCGTGTGGTTTTCTCTTTTACTTTTTTTTTCTTAATTTCGGAACTTTATAGGATCTTTTAGTATATGCTACAATTTATTATCGACTAGTTTTACCAAAGAGATTGAAGAAAAATGTAGATTTTTTTTTTAATTTCTAAAAAATTTTTTTGAAGTCAACTATCACTGGAAAGCAGCAGTTTTGAAGCGTTGTTTTGGTATATAGGTGCCATAATCTTGATAATGAAAACAACTTTGATCAAGAAATAGATTATCTATTAGTTTTATCATAATATTTTTAAACGATAATCATCACGTTTTCAATGAAATTTTTCCAAAAGACAAAAGTTTGATAAAACCTCCCACCCAAGTATTAGACAAAATTATCAAAATTGTTGCTTTTTTTTGAGAAAACCTTGGAAATATGAAATTTCATTAAATTCTAAGCATAACACAAAACAATTCATGTTCTAAAACATCCTAAAAGTTGAGAAAATCGGGATTAAAAATCAATTGTTTTGCACTCAAAAAGCAATTTTTGGTACTAAAACTGGTGTAACTCGGCTGAAACTGGCGAGAGTGTTTCAATGTTCTCAGGGATATCTAGATAAGCTTTCCTTGACCTATCCTGAAATTTTCATCTAAATCTGAAGTGACGAGGTGTTGTGGCTCCCTTGTAAGACTGGTTGGAGTCATAATGCTTGAGGCACAGAGGGATAATTTTTTTTAGTACAATCAAATCTATCAGAAAAGTTGAAAATGCAGTTCAATTATTGAACTGCTTTCGTAATCTTTTGGAAAATCTTCTACTTCAGGCCGTTTTTTTAAAGCATTAGGAATAGTGATCTTATTGCAAAATCAAAGGTTTTTATTATTTCCCCCAACGAAATTCAAAAATTTTCCATAACCCTAAATTTACCGTTATTTGGAACAAATCTTGAAAAACAACAGAGACCAAATTTCGAGAGTTTCCATGGATTTTCGTTTTTTTTTTAAATCTTAAATCTTCTATTTTCAGATTTCAAGATCTACGAAAATGCCTTCAGGATCATCTGCTTTGGTACGTGTTTTAAAAGTTGTGTTCATCAATATTACTGTAGTTGGAAAAAAATTGGGAATTCAAAATTTTGGATTTTTTGAGAATTTCAAAAGAAAAAAGTTTGGCACATCAGATACAAAGAGGTACAATGTATTTCAGGCATACGAAATTCGGGTTTTTTCAGGTTTTTTGTACTCTAGAATTGTGGATTTTAAATCACTAAATTGCTTCGTACCCCAACGACCCCGATACTTTTATACCGTCCAAATTGTTTTCCAAAAAGATTGACTACAAATTTTTTTTCCAAAAATTGAAAAAAAAATTTTTGAATAAGGCTGAAAATTTCAAATCATATTATACAAAACTAAATCTTTAACTTTGTAGTGGACAACTTCTTTGTATCAATCAAACAGTTTTCATATTTTTACATTCTTATAATTAAAATACATAATTTTTTTCGAATTTCAGCAATCTGGAACGCTGAAAGAAACGATGGCCAATGGGGTGAGTATTTAACGAACTAATTTAGGAAATTGAATTTTGAGCTCAGTTATCTCCGTTCCTATGATAGTTATTATAAATTTTTCCAATGAAAAAAAAATGATGATATTATGAAAAACATTTTACCAGTTGATAAATTTTTGCTACCTCTTATAGGAACCGCGATAATTTTGCTCACATCCCATCCGAAGTTACTGTAGCTAGGCTTAAAGTGCAAGTTACGGTAGTTGGTTCATAATCACGACTCAATCAACAAAATCATATAAAAAATTTAATCCATGTTTTCAGCAGCTGGAGTCGGAAGTCCGGATTCAAGAAGCGGAAGGTGAAATTTTTCTGGTTCAATCGATGTCAAGAGGAATTCAAGAGCCACAACCTCCAAACCCAAAAGACGGGAGTATCTTTCCGACATCTTCAAAAAAACGTCGTCTCGACAAGGGAGAAGATGCTGGACACCAACCAGGACCGTCATTTCTGCCGGCTCGAAAACACGATGAGGACGAGAAAATGCCGGAGAATGATCTTCTCGAGACGGCAATCGTTCCTATGGTCTCCAGAAGAGTCACAAGATCCCAGAAGCCAACGGAATATGAAGATTCGGAAAGTACAGTAAGTTCAAAATGGCAACATTTTCAAATTAATACTTGCCGTTTTTCAGACACCAACTCCGACACCACATCAAGTGGCAAAAAACCTGGGCGAAAAATACAAAAATAATAGAAAAATCAAACATGTGAAAAAGGGAGAAACATGTTTGATTTGTATTCAACATCGTGGCTTTCGGGCTGAATGTGAAAAGAAGCACAGTGACGTGGAAAAGAAGTTAGAGGCAGATCTTCAAAGGTAAGAGAAAAGATAACATTGACTGATAATTCAGTTTATGTTTTTAGGTTGCTGCCCGATAAGGAAGAAGTCGAGATTACTTTGGTAGAAAAAGTGCTGAGATATTTGAAAAGTCGATACCGAAATGAAGTAGGGATTTTGAAGGAAGTCCACATCCGTTGCATGATTGTAGAGGGACATAAGTTGAACTTCTACGATAGCCAAGAAAAAGTAAGAAAATTTGAGGAGGAGACAGCTCGATTTGAGAAAACTGTGAGAATTCGTTACTGATTTAAAAGTGAAACAAAAGAATATTTGCTTTCAGATAAGGCATGACAGTTTATTGAATGCCTTGAATAAGTTTATGGAGAAAATAGAGGGCGATACAAGCCCATTGAGAGAGTGCATCGAGCGCAACGTTGCATTTTGCATGTATTGCAATACAGAGAAGAGGGAAAAATGCAAGGATGCACATCGACTCACTCTCGGGCAGTATGCAGCAAATGAAGTCGAAAGGTTTGTGTTGAGCAAATTATCACTTTTTTAAGTTTATTAACCAGATCATTTCATTGCAGAAGCCTGAGCGGGTCCTGGAGAAGCGTGGAGCACGTCATTGAGAAATTGCGAGACCAACAGCGGATTTACAAGAAAAATCTGGATAAGTCCCGGAATAGACGAAATGCCAGCAGAAAGAGAAAATCCGACAAAAGACCAAAACAGGTAATTAATTTATTTTCATTATCTTACAAAAGAACCTTTCATGTTGGCGGGCACAGCAACTATGCAGAGTCTGAGAGCGTTCTTCAGAACATATAAATCCGTTTTTGAAACATGCTTAAGAAATACCTAACGTGATGAAATTTCATTTCAGTATCAAGAATCACAACCTCCATCCGCTCCCACCCCCTCCCACCAAATGCAATCATGTCGGGATCATCGAGTAGACAACGTCCCGGCCCAAGAATTCGAACTCGATGCTGATGAGTATAATTTCGAAACAGGATTTAAGGAGCCTTCGACATCTTCAAGAACAGCTGGAACATCTCGATTCAACGATCCACATCATGATCATCGAGAAGACGACGTTGTTGATCAAGGATACGAATACGATGAGGATGAGTATGATTTCGAAATAGGATATAAGGAGCCTTCGACATCCTCAAGAACAGCTGAAACATCTCGATCCAACGATCCACATCAGGATCATCGAGAAGACAACGTTGCTGATCAAGGTGACAAGGAGGCAGAAGATATCCCGAGAGAAGTTGACGAACAAATTAGTGAGGCAAATCAATTGGAAAACAAAGGCGGTGATGAGGCTCCAGCAGAAGCTTCCAACCATTTCATCTGGAATGCTCGAGAATTCGAAAAAGGAAGTCTAGCGGAGCCAGAAGAATGTGTCATCACTGCAAACACTCTGGAGACTAGAGAACAACCTGAAGGAAACAAAAGTGATTCTAACGATGTGCACCGAGTACACCACCAAGATGAAGTAAATGAAGTAGTGGAGGATTCTCCAGAAGTAGTCAAGTCAAATGATCGCCAAAGGTATATTGATTCGGAAGTCGCCGGAATAAATGAAAGTCCAAGAGACGCTAGTGGATCGGAAAAAGGCGCCAATGAATACGGAATCTGCCGATTGGTTGTGGAGGACATCATAGACAACGAGCAAGGTGAGAAAGAGGGAAAAGACATTAGAAAAAGAGAGAAAATTTTTTATCAGTTGTCATTTTTTTGATATGTTGCAAAGTAGTTTTGATCTGAATGTTTTCGTCTCACCCCTTCAAATCTACTGTATTTTTAGGAAGTCTGAAGCTGACAATTGTTCAACTAAAAGCAAAAAAACTGTGAAAGTTTGTGACAGTCTGTGAAAATTGTTCCAGACGAATGCCAATAAATTTTCTTCTTTATATACTTGTGCTTAAAAAATTTAGTTTCTTTTCTCAATTTACCTAGAAATTGTTAATTTTCAAACTCTTTAATTTTCAGACACTATGGCCTTATCCACCACGATCACCTCAAATCCACAACCAGAACTTCCCAACCATCCACAACAACCCTCACCCCCACAACATCTGCAACCATCTTGTCATACAGCCCAGGTGAAACAAATTCTAAATTTCCAAAAACTAAAAACCGTTCTTTGTCGTCTTTAGGAATGGAACTACGAAGACGTTCTCAATGAGGTACTTAAAGATAAGCCGCTGCTCGCAAAAGCCATAAAGGTATATCGAGAGCAACGTGGTCAATCAACGTCAACGTCGTCTCCTGACCAGCAAATAACAGGATCAAGCGCAACTGGGACACGATCTTCTGACCAACCTACCCCTGCTTCTGTGTCCGAAGTAAAACGAGAGATGAATCGGAGACAAGGGTGAGCTGGTTTCTTTTTTCTTGAAATGTAGAAAATTAACAGTAAGAGAATTTTTAACAAAAAACTCCATTTGAGATACATTTGTGTTCATTCACTTGAAAGCAATTACCAAACTGTTCAAGTTCCAGTTCCGTTCCAACGTCTGTCGCCGCAGCTCAAAACGCAGGGCCCTCGACTGCCAGAGGGTCATCGATTGCATCAATCCTGTCAGTAGTCGAACATTTTGGGCCTGATGACTATGACTCCGGCCTCGGAAGTCCAAGAGGCGCCCGAGGAACTGAGGAAGTCGCCGATATATCCAGATATCGCCGATTTTTGTTAACGACATCATGGACAGCAAGCAAGGTGAGAAGGAGGGAGAAGACATCACTCAAAATTATTTTAGTCACGGCCCAATGGCATTAATGTACTGTTTCCTCTGTCTCGCTACTCCAAAAAAAAATAATAAGAACGCTAATAACTTTTTTCATCAGTGCTATTTATATTTTCCGGTAACACAGGTTCGCTTGCCAGTCTAATGAGATTGATGTGTACTTCTAGTATTTTGAACAGCAAAGTTGAACGACTTTGTCTGTGTCGACACACATTACTCTGCTATCAATTATCCCGGATCCCATAGGAGCTGAGTACTACCAAAAAACTTATAATAGAAGGGTCCCTCAACTTTTATCTTTGAGCCAATTTATTTCTGTTCTTGTGAGAAAAAAAATAGTTTGATCCAAAATCATAAACTAGGGGTCGACATTTTTTTTTATTTGTGAGAAAAAAAATAGTTTCCAAATAAGCCTCAAACTATCATAGAATATATACTGCTCCACATAAATATACGTTCACCCATCAAAAATGGCAAAAAACCCAAATTTGCAGTTTCTAAAAAATATCGACCGGAGGTACGATAGTACGATATGAAAGACTTTTGGGACCCAGAGCAAATTCCAAATGAGAATGAGCAATATTTTTGTTTTCATTTTTTCAATTTTTTGACTTTTGCGGTTCCACATAAATATACGTTCACCCCCATTTTTTCCCATGTTTCAGCACCATACTCTTAAATAAAATAAACATTGATTTTCGAGGCGCAATTTCAGAGGAGGTAAATGCGAGCAAACTCCAAACGTTTTTGGGAATGGATTGATGTCAGCATAAGTGCTTCTTTCATATTTTGATAATTGATGAACTTGCTTTTCTGGATGAAACGTCAAACTGTCTCATTCGATACAGTAAGCTTCAAACGACTCTTGGTTTTGGAACAACTCGTCACAACATTGAGCGCTTTTCATAGGATTTGACGTTTTTCTCGGACTGTAAGGAGAGAATGACGTTCGGAAAAGTTTTTTGTACCGTAATTTAACGAATTCTTGACAAATCGATTGACCACGTCCGAGGATCTTACTAAATTCTGAGCAATCTGACAGTCTGAAAAGTTTTGGGCATTTTTGACTGTAATTTGACCTTTTTCGAAATCAGTTAGTGGTTTTTTACGTCACATCGCTTGAACAGTCGAAAGTTTGAAATATAAGAGTATGGTGCTGAAACATGAGAAAAAATGGGGGTGAACGTATATTTATGTGGAACCGCAAAAGTCAAAAAATTGAAAAAATGAAAACAAAAATATTGCTCATTCTCATTTGGAATTTGCTCTGGGTCCCAAAAGTCTTTCATATCGTACTCTTTTTAACCTCCGGTCGATATTTTTTAGAAACTGCAAATTTGGGTTTTTCGCCATTTTTCATCGGTGAACGTATATTTATGTGGAGCAGTATAGAATCAAAATGATCGTTGTATTATTTCAGTCAGGAACCACTTCCGAATCCGACCCGATGGAGAATGAATTTTCCGATGAACAGTCGAACTCATTTATGAATTGATCTTCTACATTCAACCGAGAATGGCCAGAACCTCATCCATTTCAACTCCCCCAGAATATCTTAATTTTTCGAATGTTTTTTTTTTCCAAAGCTGCATACCCATCACCCCTGTTTGGTTTTAAATCCATTATATTCAATAATCATGAATTAACTTTTCCAGTATTTTTCTTATTCAACTGTTGCACTTCCTCTTATAGAAGTTCACCCAAACCGTCAACTTTGAACTCAATCATCTCGGTTTGTGTGAATAACGTCAATAAATTGTTCACTGATAAATTAATGATTATAACATTACCAATATTCTATCAGTTGACAAATTTTTTCTATCTTTTACAGGAATCGAAAAAATTGAGCTGAGTAATCCCTCCTGAACTTTTGATTTAAAAAATGCATGGATTATTGCCGATTGTATTATTAAATCGTCTTTTTTAACCTATAGAAACCCGAGTTCGGAGAAAATTGGTTGATTTTTTTTTCGTGTTGTTAGAATTAACTGGAACCACATTTATGTGTAAACTTTGGATGCCTAAAAATAAATAAGATTTTGTCGGATGAAAAAAGTTTGAAAAAGTGATAATTCTACCTTAATCTGCATTCATTATAACCGTTTTAAAATTGCCAAAAAAGTTCATGTTGGATATTTATGTTCCGAATTCCCTTTTTTCCGGTGTTCTTTTCTGACGAGATTATATTTAAAAACTCTAACAATCGAGAAACCTTCCCAAAGTTTGCTTCTTTTGTATATTCCATGAAATCCTCCGTTGATACTTTTAGAAAATTGAATTGTGAACGTTTTGATACTCCATTTGGGTATGTTTTAGATATATTAGGTCAAGGCTTAATGGAGCATAGCTAGAAAAAAACACTGGAACACGTATTTATTTAATATCATTGTTAAATTTTAGAGACAAAATTAAAATTATATTATAATAAACTTACTCGTAAAATTATAAACTCGTGTTATATATTACAGGGAAGGGATATGATTGAAATGAGTGATAAAATCGTGGAGAAAACGATTTGAGACTTATCATAAAGCTAATTGCGAAACTTGTCATGGGGGCGATGGGTTATTTTTGTCCCGGGAACAATAGACTAACTTGTAACGGGGATAATTTGTAAACTGGGGAATGAGGAGAAAGTGGAGAATTCAAAAATGATTATTGATGATTATTGATATGCACCTTCTTGATATGCATCCTTTTTTCAAAGGACTTAAAATCTAAAAGCGGGTGAAAAGTGCACGAAAACTAAAAAACTAAAAAAACAACATCTAGAAATGATGAAACTAATATGCATTCACAAAATTACTACAATTATATAAGAAAATTGGGGAAACTAATAAATAGTGATCTGAAAATGGGGTGGGAAGTTTTTAAAAGTATGTCTCAAAAATGCTGTTCCTATTATATAAATGGAAACACAGAGCCAGAGAGGTGGTCGGTTATGCACAAACCCAGTATCAAATCAATAAATCGAGAAAACAGCGTATTATACATATCTTGGGAATTTTCACTGGAGTAGAGAATCGGCAGCTAGGCCGAGATCGTAGCTATGATCCAGGAGAGCGTCAATGGCTTCTTGACGAGAGCTGACCAGTCCCAATTGCACCAGATGGTCTTCCTTAAGTCTATTCAAGGCGGGTCCGATGTTATAGTTGCATACGGCAAGAATTCTGTTACATTCGCCTTGCCTGCAAAAATTATGAAACTAGTACACAGTGAATGAAAAATACTGTAAGCATGCATCAATAATTTATCATTGATAAAAACACTTGACAATCAAATTTTTTTAAAATTTATGTGTTTCGTATTTATCACTTTTAGTATGAGAAGTTAAAAATGTTAAACTTACTCTGCGAACGGAGCTAGTTCGTAGAACGTCATACGCTGAACGGGAAAATTGGTCGGTGCTGTGGCTCTTGTTGGTGCAGTTGCCTCCTCGCGAATGTTATTTCCAATTGTTTCCGGCAAATCCTGAATAATTCCTTGCTGTGGGGCGGCGCGGATTTGAAGGGGAGCAGAGTTCCCGAGTGGAAGTTCGCGCGACGTATCTTCAATTGAACTGAACATGTCCGGTTCCGGTTCAAGCCTTGGTGCTTCATAATTGGCAAGAGAAAGATTCTCGAGACGTCTCCGGAAACTGGACAGTGTCGCCGCGGCTCTTGGTGTTTGCACCCCGCTCTGTTCGAATGTTTCGATGATATTGGTCTCCAAATCATATCCCATACAGTCTCTTGCTCGCTCTTCCTAAAAATTAAATTTCCAGTTTGGTTTTGAAATTTTCTTAAAACTCACAGCAAATGTCATTGGGAGCGGAGTGGTGAACAGGAAGTTCGGCAAAACTGGGTCATCCATCGAAAGTCTAGTTTCCACAACGTAATCAGTTTTGAGTAGGTTATTGCGATGTGCCAACTTCAGAAGACGATTCAAGTTTTGCTGATGAGTAATGTACCCAGCTAAACAATCCGTGATTTCTTCGCTGAGATTGTGCATTTCTTGGTTATCCATTACAAGTTAGGGACCCTGAAAAAGGAAAATTTAATCGAAAAGTGAAAACAGTCAAAGCGATCAAAAACTTGACAACCGAGCTTGCGACTGCTAAAAACGATCAAAAATCATCTGAAAAATATGTTTTTATATATCTTATAAAGTCAAATTTGATCGCTTTGACTTGAACCATTAATTTTCTGAAATTTTAATAGATATTCGAGTTTTTGAATGTATTTTTCAAATTTCAAATTCAGTTTTTTTCTAATATTTCGAAAGCTGTTTTTTGGAATTTTTCATAACGGTCGGAAAATACTTCAAATATAATTTTGAAGCATTAAATGAAAAAAAAAGTTAAAAATAAATATATCACCAATAAATGAATAATGGTTTCAACATAAAAATTCAACGTTATCAAAAATATTTTGCTTTATTTTATTTTATTTATTGCTTCTTTCACAAAAAAGCAGGAAAAATGGATAAAATATTAATTTCGGCCCTAGAAATGACCTCATCTGTGATAAAACCGTATTACTCTTGCTCAAATAATGGAGTAGACAAGGATATTAATGCAAATAATGGAAGAGTTATAAAAAGGGATACAAATCTTTTAAAATCATTGAGCTGAAACACCGATTTGTGCGTCAAAACGTTTTGGCAGAGGAGATGATGACAAAGAAAAGGTAAAGAAAGAGGCGAATAGTACAAAACAAGATTATTGATTTTTGGAGGATTTTGTGTGGACTTTCTGTACATCGAGATCTTGTTGAGCAATTCGAGAGAGTAAGTAGCAACATAAAAAACCAATGACAAGTGAAGGACAGATTGTTTGGAGGGGTGTAAACGGTTGACTCGTAATGACTGGATGTGATGGAATAGTTTCGTTAGGGTTTTAAATTAAAGCACCGATTTCTGTGTGGGGGGAGTTGAATTATTGATTTCAGATTTGTTCTTGTGTGACGATCCCGTTATTGCGTGGTATCGATCGGAAACGCTGTGATGTTCCATTGTTGCCGTCTGAAAATTGAAAATAAGCAAAACTAGACAGGATGTAATAAAAACATACAACAACTATGCGCCAGCGTACTCGCCGAAATGCCCATTCTTGGAACATTCTTCCGCACGCCACTTCCTCTCGGCACATCACCCTCCGAGTTCTCTCCATCAGCCTCCGACGATCCACCATCGTCGTCCATCATCAGGGACGATCGTTGACTATCATCGTCGCGTTTTCCTTTCAGAGGCCTCCCACCCAAATTCCGATTCCGACTCGTCGGCCGCGCATTAACATCAACCCGAGCGAATGCTCCATCACTAACTGAATCGTAGGTATCCTCTCGTGGAGTGCTTCCTCGATTTAGTTGCCTGCGAGTGGCGGTCTGAAAATATTGCAGGGTTACTGAAGTCAGCAATCAAATATACTCACATCATAAACATGGCTTCCTGGCGGTGGAGGATTTGATGGTGGTGGCGGCATCATGTCCATGAGAGTTTTGTTTGGAGGTGTTCGCCGCTCTCCAGTCCTCTCTTTGCTGCTACCAGTTCCATCCGATGAGTGCAACTGTAAAATTCACCAGTTAGATTCAAAAAGCGATAACTTTCACGTTAGTCAATGTTAGAAGTGTTAGTGTTGGGTCTCACTATCTATCCTAAAATACCTGAACATAGCTCACATCAGTGTGAGGTGGACTATCCGATCGTTGACTTCCACTCGTTCGGTGGTGAAGTCCTCCGTTTAGTGTTCCTCGTCCATCCGAAGCACGACTCGATCGAGACCTCCTTCCGGCAGTTTGATCCGCATATCTTGCTGGTGGTTCTGGTGGCACTGGATTTGTTGGCATCGCTGGCGCCCGGAGCATTTTGTCATTGAGCCATGCTGGTTGCTGGTTGGAGAGCACAAGTGTGGTGGTAGCGTATGGAGATGGATCATCGTGATATTGGTTTCCGTAGAATGTCGACATAGCATTTCCAGGTCCTCCAGTCAACTGAGCATAATGGTAATGGTGCTCCGATCCAGGTCGGTGCATAGTCCCGCTGTAGTCGTCACAAGTGTTGAAGAAATCTTGGGCATTCGGAGTCAACGAGTAGAGCGCTTGTCCTCCACCGTTTCTATTATTCATTGTCATCCTTCCAGTAGTGTTGTACATTTGATTCTGGTTTTGTGCCACATCCCAAAGGTTGTTAGCTGCCATATGAACACTTCCATCGTTGATTTTAATAAAACTCCGATCCTTCCCATCCATATTCCGACTGTTTCTATAGTAACAGTAAGCAATTATGATAACCACAAAGATTATCAGAAGTGCTACTATCACTATCAGCGGGACATGCGACTTGTTGATCCACCCATAGAGGAACGACTCGTTTTCTTGTTGAGCGGCGAGATGTTTTTCGAGAGTGTCTTGGTCTGAAAAAGAGTACAATATTGAATTTCTGTTATTATATCCAATCAGTAAACATACTCATTGTGACTTCACTCGTTCCATGCGAGACTCCGACGCCTCCGTTACTTCTAGCGGCTACTCGAATTTTGTATGTCATACCAGTGACCAAATGGAACAGCGTCACACTGGCGGCTCTCTCGTTTGTTGTGATATTGCGGTTGTTGTTCGGTGCTTGACCAATAATAACAATTTGGAATCCTTTGAGAATTCCATTGATGCCGTCCGCTTTTGGCGCCTTCCACGAGATGCGTAGAGTCGTCAGGTTGAGCATACGAATGCGGACGTCCTCTGGTGGGAGTGATGGTGCTAAAAAGAAAATTTTACTGTTTGATTTTTGAAAAATCAAATCACTTACGAGCTTCAGCGGTCAGCACATCCATAGAGTTACTTGGAGCTCCGTGAACACTATGAACACCAGAATGGTATGGAATCACAAAGAATTCGTAATTGGTGAATGGCATCAAGTTGGATACAACAAAGTTCTCCGTACTTGGACTGGTCACATTCACATACTGATTGTCGTTTGTTCTCGGTGGTCCTCTCCACTTGATATAATATCCATCAATGAGTTCCTCAACTCGTCGTTTTTTCCAGAATAAGCGGACAGCCGTAGAATTGATGGTTTTGACCTCTTCAAGCTTGATGAGCTGCTCGGAAGTTAAGCGTTTCTCCGCGATCGCCATATCCATCTTGTTTTTATCGGAAAGGGCAACTTGAGCAGCTGCTTTACCAGTGGTGACCAAGGCAGATGAGACGCTAGGAGTACCAATTCCCTTCTCATTCTCTGCACGAATTACAAACATGTAAGAGTGAGATGGTTTGAGACCTTTGATTCTGTATTCTGTCGTTGCCACATAGTCCGGGATGTTGTACCAAGTCTGTCCAAGATCTGGGCTGTAGTACTGAATGATGTAACCAGTGATTGGTCCGGCTCCAGATGTCGATGGAGCATTCCATCGGAGCTCTACTTCCGTGTCAGTGACATTGACGATTATGGGTTGAGTCGGCGCCGATGGGAAGTTGGATGGATCTGGCATTCGGGCGAATTGAGCATTGCTTGTATGATCTTCAACGGTTAGTGACGCCGACCAAGTCGACTCGCCATCCTCGTTCTTAGCAATGCAGGTGTACACTCCGGTGTCGGGTTTCTTCAAATCAGCGATGTGTAGACTTCCAGTCGAATGTTGACTGATTCTACTATCTGTTGTATCAATTGGAAGACCATCTCGAAGCCATGAGATTCCTGGTGTCGGTTTGCCGCTTGCCTGACATGGAAGAATTGCTGATGATGCAATCATCAACGTTTGATTCTGATGGCCATGTTCGATGGTTGGTGGTGGCTTTGCTGGTGTGTTTCCGGTCACGGCTGAAAATATTGATTTTGAAACATGACATTTTTTATTGTTCAAATCATTTTTTTTCTCTGTTGGTTTTGTCACCGGAAATTCTAGTCAAAATGACGTGAAGTCGAGAGAAAAAAGACAGAATCTTGGGCCCGAAATTCTCATTTTTCATCTTGTTTCCAAATCACCGGACAAGTGGCTCTTTAGCAGAACATTTGGCGCGTTTCTTTCCCGAAGAGAGGAGCCCGAGTGGGTCCCCTCTCTGCCGATCCAAACAATTTATCATTGTTGGGGGGACAATTGTTCGCACATAATTGAGATGTGTTGTACGACTCAGGAAAAGAGATATAACAAGTGTTTATGACCCGTGAGTAGCTTAGATGATGATGATGGGTACATGATGGATAGCTGACAAAACTTACCCAGGCAATCCGTGCCGTTTACGCACATCAGCGCCGAAGTCAAACTGAAGACAGAGCCAAATATCATTTGACTATGTCATAGGGTTAATCTAAAATTTTGAAATGAATATTTGGAAATAATTTTTGAGAGTTATAGAAGTTACAAGATTGGGAAACGGAGCAGAAGAAATTTGAAAAAATACGAGATTCATTAGTGGGAATGGATAAAACGAAACCATGGGTATATACGTCTTCTGTCTCTCACACCATCATCCTTCGCCAAATGACTATGGAAAGTACTTACATACACACCCATACGCATGACAAAGTTTCATCTTGCATCATTACTTTTCAGATTGACCACAGCTAAACGAAATAAGAGAGAATTCCGTTGGGTGGCGACACCACACGCCAACGACAACGCACACCAGTAGTAGGCGAAAAATGAAATTGTTTACGATTGGTTTGAGAAAAACGCAAGACGCGACAAATGGGAAATGAGCTCTCGCGTTTGATGCCAAAAGACAGATAATAGGTGTCAAGAGAGAGAAAGAAATGAAAATTTGAAGTTAAAATCTAAAATCTTGAGACAGGAAAATGTATCTTGCGTACAAATTTCGTACTGGAAAGCGCGATTCTTTAGCTTTCAGAAAATATTATTATGTCTGACCAGAGGAATTATGTAAACAGATTTTGGTCCATAACTAAGAACATCAGAAAGAGCAGGGAAGGAACCATTTTAAGAAAAAACAAATACAAAAAAGGAGAGGCGGCCAAAAAAATGTCAGAAACGAGGTGTCTTCTAATGATAAGTGGGGGACCCTCCGAGGGCACACACACACACAGATGTCGGCGTATTACATCTCATCCCTCCCGGCCAGATAGATATTGAACATAGCAAAAAGGAGCACCGCCCAGCGCCACGGTCTCCCGAGGAGAATTACAAATTGATGAATAAATCAAATCGATATTTATGTTGTGAGTTTAATTGAGTGATCTCGACCGACCGCAGTTGGTGGGGGAGGAGGATCGCAGGAAAATCTATTGCCTCGGATTCTTTTGTGAACAGCGTCATATGGTGCTTTTGGCGGAGAAGAATAGTTGGGTGTGGGATGAGTTATGGCACCGACAAAAGGCACGATTGCGGTGGTCAGGTTTCTAGAGTATACAAACAGATTTCGGGGTCCCTCTACTGGAGGAATATTAAAAATCCAAGACAAAGATTTTGTGACAAGAAAATTGTCTAGAAAATGTCTAAAATTAATTCAGCGAATCCCTAGTAAACACTACAAACTTCATGTTCTGAAACAGCCTAGAAATTGAGAAAGAGGATTTGAGAGCTGCTGTTTTTTGCACTGAAACTGATTGAACTTGGCTTTAACTGGCGAGCTGATTCTAAAATTTTTAGAAGTGTCTAGATCGGTTATTTTTAACCTATCCATTTTCATCACAATCTGGTTAGAAATATCAGAAAACTGGAGGGAAAATCGCGGATCCTATCCTGTCTCCTAGATTTTCGACTCAACTAAAAAGTTGTCCATTTTTGGGTGTGGTGTCCGTAGACAAAAGTAAGAAAGGATGTCTCAAAAAGTTCACATAAATCACACGTCTCCTAATCTCAGTTCCTTCCTCCTCTCGTTTCGTTTTGAAAACGAGCATGTGTCCGCCCAACCGTAGGGGTACGTACTCTCCACTCATATTCTATCTGATCAGATTTCGGACGTCACGTTACGTGAAACTAGTATATATATATCTAAAGCTCCGAGAGATGGAAAGAAAAGTCTCAATAAATATGAAACATATGATAATAGTGTGCGAAAAATGTGTCGCAAAAACGCAGGAGACTCCTGAGGATGAGAAGAAGGCCGAAAAACTGAGAAGAAGAAGGACGATGAGCTTCGAAGAAAATTGGAAGAAAATAGAAAAATGGGAGAAAAGACTCGGGGAGGGCTCGTTTTCAAGTACTACACTTCTGAATTGAGCTCAGGATTGTTGTGCCTGTCATCAAATCCGAAATAGAAGACATTTAGAAAAAAACAAACATAGCAAGAAAATAAATTTCAACAAGAGAACTTTCTCATCTGACTCTTATGGGGGTTTTTGTGGACAAATTTATTGTTACTGGACGCCCATTTCCTACTACTATTGCTGGCGTCGGATGGTGAGAGGAAGCTATTTGTAGGGTGGGGAAAACAAGGAAAATGCAATAAACTCAGTTCCTAAATGGTTCATGAGAAGGAGGGCTCATAATTTTTCTGGGGATGGCTTACACGCGACCTTCTCGTTCTTCGAAACAGTATTCTAACAAGGATGTAAAAAAGGAAAAGTTTCCGTGCCCAACCGGGCGAGAAGCTTCGCCTGCCTAACCTAACAAAACACAATCTCGTTTTCGTTTTCGTTTTCTGGACAAATATTGGTGTTGATTTTTTAATAACTGTACACAAGGTATACAAAAAAGATGTATTTGTAGACGAAGAAGAAGATGCAACTACTACTTTTTTGTCGTCGTTTTTTTTCGCCTTCTCAAAACATGCCTCAAAACATTTGCATATATTTTGTGAACGTATTGAAAAACGGTGGGCCACCAAATGACAACAAATGGTTAACCGTGAATAATAGGGAGGCAAAACGGTGGCGGGTGGGTCCCATATACAGACAAAAGGGAGGATTATTAGGAAAAGATGGAATATGTGTGTAAGGTCATCATAAAAAGAAGACTTTGCCGCCTCGGTATGGCATATAGCAGCGGATCTCCAGGTATAATTATTGCACTTAACGAAATTTGATCGTAATTGACGCAAAGAAACGAACCGTCAAAACAATATTATGGTCCGGGAAAACATCCGGTCCCGTTGAGAAACGGTTCAAAAAAGGGAATGCAAAGTGTGATGTTGACCAAAAAGCTTAGCATAGGTAGTCACCCAAAAAAAATCTAGGTGAGAATGAAAAACAAGCAAAAAGAAAGCAACTTGTTTTTTTTCGGAAAATCGCGAGAATTGAAAAATTGAGAAAATGGCAACAGAAATTCTCTGTTTTCTCTACCTGGCCCTTTTATATCAGCAATTTAATTTATTTTGAAAACCAAAAAAGTTTCAATAAGAAGGCAAATGGAAAATGAGTAGTCGTATTTGGGACAAATCGAAAGTCGCCTCGGTTTTTTTTGAGTGACCGGAAAGAGAAGATACATCTATTGTTGTCAAGAAAAAAACGCCACCAGCGGTAGTTGAGTGTTCATCTCAAATTCCGTTTTCTTTTGAAGCAACACAAAAAACCAAGTATTGTATAGTATTCATGAAAGATTCAAAGCTGCGTAGCTAGAAGGAAAGAGTCAAAACCCAGTGGGGACTCGTCGAAAGTTACTAATGAGCAGGTATACCACGCTCCACTGGTCACATAGAAACCGATGCGAGACTTTGGCGACTACTAAGTCTATAAATCCGAAAATGAGCCTGGAAGAATAATAGGCAGAGATTTGAAAGAATGGACCGTCCTGAATAGGACATGGCAACTTGTCAAGTGAGATGAACCGAAGAGTGAAAAATCACGCGCATCTGGCTTTTAGCGAAGAGAGGAGGAACGTGAGAATATGGTCTCAAGCTGTTCTCCTACAGGGCTCCAGGAACCCAAGAAAAGCGATATATCATTTCTCTCAAGTAAAGAGGTTAGATTTTGATTTATTTATGAGGTGATGGTTATGGAGGAGGAATGCATTTCCAAATGACCTCCTACTGATTTTCTGGAGGTTTATTGTGTGAAAAAGAATGGCAAAAAACAGGGGGCAAAAAAGAATATGGGTTCGATTACCCGAGGACAGGTGTTCACGCGAATGGAAATTTGGAAATTCATGAAGATTGACAACCTTCAATGCCACTTTTTTCCCTGGTTTTTTGAAACGCAAAAGGAACATACGATACTTGGCCGAAGAAACTCAAGAAAAAGAGAGAAAAAAATTTGGAAAAAAGGTGCGCAAAAAAGAGAAGGAGACCTGGTCTTTCTTAATTCATACATAAATTTTCGTCCTTTTCTACACATCTCCACACAGGAGGGCACGTTTTAGTGTTTCCGATGAAGTGTCGTCGTCGTCCTCGGGGGTTTTTATGACTCCAAACACAACAACCCAAATGTGGGAATAATTTATGCATCCTAGTCGTTTTGTCGTTTAGGCTTTTCCTCTCTTCTCAATATGCTAGACATGCGCATGATGTTTTTTTTTGCTAGGTTATAAAATGAGAAGCTAGAAACTGGTCTGATTTTTTTCTGACGCTTTCGTTTCAGTTGCAGGAAGTATATAGAAAGCTTGAGAATGAAAATTACTAAAAGTGAACTATACTATTCTGAAATGGAACACAAAAAAAAGAAAGGAAATGGAAATTAAAAGCGATTCGGGTTGTTTTGTTTATCCTCTCGCTCTATCCAGCACTAGATGCTATACCAGTACTTAGTAGCTGTTTAGTGTGAAATGGATTAGTGATGGGGTAGTGGACTGGTGTGAAAAGGGAGGAGGATATATAAAGATGGACTATTTGCAGGAGAAGACCTTTCTAAGGCTTCCCAGTCAAAACCAAATAGTGTAAAGAAAGACGGGACTTTTGGTTTCTATTCTATTTTCTTTTTTTCTTGCTAACTCAATTATTCGGAATATCCTAAGGAAAGAGGTCATTTAATCGGATTGATAGTTTTTTAAATTGTTATAATCGGGTATGTTTATAATCCTTTAAAACAAAAGATACGAATTTTTTAAACAATCGAATACCCGCAATGAGGGAGCTCCAAGAGAATTTTCAATTGGAATGCAAACCAACAAACTATGTTGCTTCTCCTCATTCTTTTTGAAATAAAACAAATGCCAAAAAGTCTGATGGGTTTAGAAACAAGTTATGCTAATTTACTGGGTCAAGATTCTTTTCTTTTTCATTTTTGTTTGTCCCCCAAATTTTTAAAATTTTTAGAACTGACCTTTTGTTGTAACCTTCAACGACGCTTTGCTCAACGAACTTCCAGCCGAATTCATTCCGGCGCACACGTACGCTCCCTCGTCGACCTGTCGGACTTCCTCAATAGTCAAAGTTCCTGTTGGAGACACTTTGGTTCTTCCGTCAGCAGACACGTAGCTTGGAAAGAGCAAATCCTGTTGGCCTTCTTTACTCCAAAAGTAAGCTGGACTTGGTTGTCCGACGAGAGCACACTCAAATGTTGCAGTACCTCCGGCAGGTACTGATTGGTCAACTGGTTTCGTTTGGAATGATGGTGGAGCTTGGACACGAAGATGAGCCGATGCCTCGAGGGTTCCAGCTGGGTTACGGGCATAGCAGACGTATTCTCCTTCATCAGATGGTTGGACCCTGGAAAAATGAAAAAGTTTAGGAGGATCGTGAATGTCTAGGAAAGAAATTTTGAAGTTTCAAATAAAATTTTCAGAGCAACGGTTTTTTGAAACTGAGAGAATGTTTCACACTGAGAAATTTTTTTAAATTTCAACCTATTAAGTTCTTAGGATCTGCTGGGAGAGACTAGGACAGACCGAGAATGGTTGTCAGCCCCAAAGAAAGAGGGGTTCTGACCAATGAAACAACTAAGAAGAAGAGTGCCAAAGAAGGGCGCTCTTCTTAGGTGGGTAGATCACAAATTAATTTGGTAGATCAAATATAAAACTAATGGAAGTATGCATAGAATGCAACACAACCTTTTCCCGAATTACGAGCTGCTTAACTTTCTTGCTTAATTTTTCAGTACACTTTTTCAGCTTGCATTTATATACGATTGTGTTTTCTAGTATTTTTTACTATGGAAATATCCTTCTGTAAGCCAAATAGCATAAGAAAAAGTTTTTGCGTCCTCAAGAATAGCTCAAAAACCCAACTTTTTCTCAAACATCGCTTATGTATGCGTTTTCTCATCAACGGATGTTTGACATTTTTCGCAGAAATTGAGCAAATTTAGTTCCATCGGAGCATTTAAGGATTATTTTTTCCAGAAACCATTGTTTCATAAAATCCCAGTTAACATAAATAATACTCAATCGAATTTTTATACAGAATTTCCTGTTGCCTAATTCAAAACTTCACATTCTTCCTGAAACTCATAAATCTCATTTCTCGAACATTCCCTATCCCTTAATCTTCTTTAAAGACATAAATTACATAAAGATCTCCGAAAACGGTTATTAGATTATGTCCATTTTCGCTCTTTTCTCCCATCTTGATCCTCTCTTGGAGATAAAAGTAAATCCAGGATTTCTGCGAGATGAGATAACACTTCTTGTGTGTTCTCGACACCATTTTATTACCTCTCAATTCTTAATCCACGATTGTCCTTGGCAATGTAGGCTCGTGTCACTGGCATCGGCTCGTTCTTTCGTTTCCAGGTGATTTGAGGCTGTGGATCTCCAGTCACACGACAATCGAAAAGAACTGCAGCTCCAACGTCGACGGTCATGTCCTTGGGTTCTTGCTGAAAAGAGGAAAATAACAATTTATCATTGAATTAGAGAGGAAGTTTGGGAGATCCCTTCTCTTTCAATTTCAATCTATTTTGCCACGATAAACCTCCTCGATTTCGTTTTTTTCCAAAATCAGAACAATGGTAATAAAACGACCTTGTGGTCGATTTAGATTAATTCCCACCAAAAGACTATTGAATCGGAAACTTACCTCAAACTTTGGTTTCTCAAAGACACTTAATCTTGCCGGGTTCGATACACGTTCTCCGACCATATTGTTGGCAACACACTGATAAGTACCAGAATCGCTGCGATCCACCGGGTCAATGATGAGATTTCCGTCAGAATGGAGGGTGTAGCGTGGCAAATCTTGGATTCGGAGCTCCTTGTCGTCTTTTCTCCAGCTGACAACAGGTTCCGGGAATCCACGTGGAGGACTGCACTCGAGAACTGCCATTTCGCCGCCGAGAGCCTGGAAAAATAAAGATAAATTAAGAACTCAAAAGTTATAGAGTTCAACAATGGAGCCGGTACAGAAATGGGCCGCAATGAGCAAACTAAACTCAAAAACACCAAAAAGGCAAATTTCTGTTGAATTGTTATATAATTTTGTTGTCAACAGAGGCTACTCGTTTTATGACCCTAGTAAAATCGAATTGCGAGTTTTTCATCGTTCCATCCCAAATACGAACAAATTGGCACAGGTTTCAGCTAGGTTTTAAACTAGTAACGGATCCGTTAGGATTAACGTTCTGATAATTTTTCTGATACTCGAACAATGGCAGACGGAAAAGCCAATGTGATTTTCAAGGACTCATCAGTAACGGGTAGTTCGCAAATCTTTATTTGTCAGATGTTTTTTATTTATAGCTTAAACGAAAATCTTACCTGCACAGTCCTAGGTCGCACTCGAAAATCTTCACGAAGCATCGCCAATCTCAACGATCCCTCATTCGATTTCACCTCTCCATGTTCATTGCTAGCCACGCAATAATATGCTCCAGCGTCACTATCCTTTCCATTCTTTCCACTGTTCACTTTCAACAAAAACAACGAGCCAGTATCCAGAACAATGCGATGACTGTTGACTTGCTCCTTATTCGTGATAACAGGTTGTCCGTCTTTGTACCATGTGATTTTGGCGGTCGATGGTTTTGCACCACAGTTTAGTGTGGCTGGAGATCCGCGGGATACAACCACATCGAGTGGATGCTCGATGATCACTGGAGCAAGATTTGAGGTATCTGTAAAATTTCGGTTATAATTTTTTATTTTAGGATTTAACCTTCTGTGATTTTCTAATGATTTAATTACGAAAACCCCTCAAACCAATTTTCTTCTCCTTCCCTGCCAGCCATTATTTCTCATGCCCTTGCCTATGCCTTAGTGATTTTATCCGTCTTGACACAGTCTGAATAAGAAAAGAAACGTGTCATAGTGCATTAAATCATTCTGACCGGTCCGGCACGCGTGCGCGCACGATCTCACTGTCACAGTTGGGTAGGAGAAACGCGATGAAACGAACACCTTTCGCAAATTTTTATTCCAAGGATTCTGTCCTTGACGAAGAGAAAGGTAATAAAGTTGAGAACATTACATCTGATGAATCAGTGAACCTAGACGACAATGTCCAAATTTATGTGTGTCCAAACACCTTAGATAGCAAATCTACGGGTTTATTAGGTGTGTATGTGGGACCAATTACGTAACAAGTGGCTGGCTATTGACCTTGGCGTGCAGCGGATTACCGATCCGGATCGCTTGAGCACATCCACCAAACAAATGTACTTTTTCAGCACCCCTTGCTTCCTTCAAGACACCGTGTTTTCTCCTTTTCGCGTATGGATGAGTGACTGGCTATTGTTGTTTACCAACACAAATCTTTGGCTAATAAGGTTTGAGAGAGTGCCACCAGACTTCCAATCAATTAGAGAGACTTCCGGAATCGGGTACCCAATTAGACATGGTTATTTCCTTTTATTTCCTTTCTTTCACCTTTTCCAACGAATAACCTCAAAAATAAACTATTCATGAACCAAAGGAATAGCCTTCAAAAGTATACGGATCCCTTGTAGAACAACAAAACACAAAGCAGAGCTTCCTGTCAACACTCAATTTCACAATACACCATCCTTGTCATTCATGCTTCTGCCTTTCGCAACAATGTTGTTGAAAGCTTTTTCCTCTCCATAGCTGTTAAAATGAGCGCCAACAGCTCATTAATAACCAGTGGACTAGTCTCCAGAGGATTACCCAATGTATTATCGCATCTCCAACCAACCTTATGCTAATTATCGACTTTCTAAAAATGCCGGAAAGAGATCTCTTGCATATTGAAACAGCAGCCCCTCATGAATCCATTTTTGAGAAGCCACCAAGGTTAGATTGACCCTCTAAATGACTTGCACATTGTGCACCAAGACAATGACAAATAGAAGCTGCGGGAGGTCGGACGGGGATTTCCGTGGGCCCTCTGCACCCTCAACTGTTTCTTATTTTCCATTTCAAATTACACAGCTCTACCGCTGAGAGCCGCCAGCCCAAAGACTTATTGTTTTAAAAAGATTAGCATTACAATGACCGAATACTTGAGAATGGGAAGATGATGGTCCATCGTTCTTCTTTTTTCCCCGTAAAGATCTATTGTTTTCTAAACAACGACCACCCAAAAACGGACGGACATGCTCGAGACGGAGAAAAAGGGCAGATGGGCCTAGCAGGACAGAGAAACGATAATCGAATCTTTTTACACTATAGTCGGCAAACGAGCTGACAACCCAAGAGAAGAAAGGGTCCCCTTCTCCACTTTTGGTTTCGTTTGGAAAATGAAGAGTCATGACTAATAGTGTCTGAAGAGAGCAATCGTTGCTTTAATCGAAAGAGGTTTTGCTCTGTGTCGTGCAGGAAACATGAGAAATACCCGAGAAGATCGAATGGCTTTTTCGTTCGGTTTGAAAAAAACAACTAACCTTCGCAAAAGACTGCCGTATTCAAAACGAGTAGAAAACTGCATAACTGCACGTTTCGATTGAACATGGTCTTGTTTTATTCAATCTAAAATCTTCAATTTCGACGGCAGCATCTAATTGTGGTGGCGGTGTTCTGAATTTCCAGTTGGTAGAAACACCTGAAAAAGTAATCAAATGATTATTGGCGGATCCGGAAGGTTGAAAAGGGTAATTTCGAGAAAGAGAAACGATTCGAATCAGTAATTAAGGAGACAAAAAGTTTTGGGCGCAAAAAGCGTGGCCCTTTGGTGTAATCATTCATCTTTTAGGGAGGGTGACACTTGGGAGAATAGATTTAGAAGGATTGGGGAAAGGAAGAAAAACGAAGAGAGACAAAATGGGCAAAGTAATTGAAAAGTTGACGAGCGTCGTCGTTTTCAAGATGTGCGGGGCGCACTAAGATGAATTGCGACGCCGGTTTTTGTGCGACGGACACTTTTCTCTTTGTGACACGATTCTCGGGACGGAAGCTCATTGGTCTAAAATTGGTCCGACAAGAAGCACTTCGGCATTTTGAACAAATTCGGGTCCTAAGGAAGATGTGGCTAAGAAAGTTGAAGACGACGCACAAGTAGAGAAAAAAATTGCACGGCACGGAAGAAAAAGTAGCCACTGCCAGTCAGGAAGAAGACGAAAAAATGCGGACGCAACGTTAGGAAGGCAAAACTGAGTGAGAGGCCGAAGATATGACGCGCAGTATGGATGAAGGATGTATTGAGAAGTTTTTGGAAAAGACATCCGCTGATCTGATATTTAAAAAGTTTCGAGTTAGGCACGTCTTGCAGAGTTGCAAAAATCAAACGAGAAAATTCGATTTTCTAATGTAATAACAAATAAAAAACTAATTGAGTAGAGCGAAACTAAAAATCGATCAAAAAAACGGTTTGAATTGAATAGTGCTGGTGCACTATGCCAATGACTAACGACTGGTCAGCGGAGGGGCGAGAGAGTGGGGAGATGCGAATGGAGATAATGAGACGCAGACAGTGCAAGAACTATATCTAGGTGTGTGTGTGCATCGGGAGGACGGGTGGGATGAACAGGGGCTATTATTGATTATTCGTCATTAAAGAGACATTGTGGGCAATGTAAAGACGGTTTTTTGGGAATGGGAGTATTAGATAATAAGAGGTCAAGAGAATGGGAATTGGAATTTGAAAAATAGACCTGTAATCTAAAATTTGTGTTTTTGAAATCCAAAGCATTGGCAATTGCAATAAGGTTCTTATGAATCTCATTATAAAACTCAAGATAAATAACACAAATAATACTCGTCAAGAGCCCGGAACTATGACGGATGTGTGCATGACCAAGGAACGGGAAAAAGGGTAAAAGACAGAAAAGGAAGGCGTCATAGGCTATGTGTGTCCCTTTCTCTCTCTCTGGTTAAGTAATTATTCCAATTCGTGACCAGGGGGCCTTCTCCTCCTCGGCCCCGTTCATTAGGTCCATTGTGGACACCCTCTGCAAAACCTATGGAGAAAAGAACCCCACAAGAAAAGGAGGAGAGAAAAGGTTAGGAGATAGAACCCGAAGGTCCTGTCATACAACATCTGTCGTGTTGTTGTCAATGAGCAATAGTTACACTTGTAGTGGTGAAGAATGAGAGGAGGACCAATAAAATTTCGACGCGCGCCAGAGGTGTATTTTTATAATCTAGTTTGACAACTAAAGTGACGGGAAGAATCCGAGAAGAATGTGGTCAGGAAGTGGTGTCTGTTTTACAATTAAAAAGGTGTCGAGACGCAGAAGCTGGACAATAAAGTTTATGGCACTTTACAGAAAGGGCACACGTTCTTCAGAAGAGGATCACTTATCTCGCGCTTTTTTTCTTTTTTTCCATCCATTTGATGTCTTCTGAATCCTAAGAAACCAACAAGAAATGCGAAGAAGAAAAAAGCGTCTGACGGGAAATGTCTATTAGAAGGACATCTCTGTGGTCCGGCGCCGCAATTCATAAAGACGTGGGGGATGGACACCTGCTCGACAAGAAGGGAGAAACTGGGGGTCGATGGTGTGAAAAATGAGGGTTTCAAATGGGGTAAATGAGAATGGCAGATGAGGGGAGCGAGCGGGTGTGCGCCAAATGATTTCTAACCAAATGGTGGGTCAGAATGGGGAGACAGTGGTCAGTGGTTCCATCTAGAAGATATGAATTGGGTGGAAATCCTGGTAGAGTGTAAATTCGGAAAATTGTTCAACATTCGCGCTTAATGCTTAACGAAAACCTAATTGAGACCTTCTGTTACTCTAGGAAATATTGTGAAATTTAAAAGAAATTGACACCTAAGAATCAGGGAGCCTCCGTTTGTTTTGATTTACGAGGTGGAAAATAGTAACATCTCAGACGTTCGCCGCGTTTAGGCCATGTTGCAGCTAAACTTAATTTTCTGAAAGCCTATTCTAGAATTTCACTACGGTACAAAATTCGGAACGAGGGGTGTCGGAACGACACAAGCGTTGCTCGCGAGATATCCAGCTACCAATTTTTTACAATAGCATTGATCAAAATTTTATTAACTTCGCCCATTTTATGTTAAACTTTAGTCAAATTCAGTTGTTTCAAAAATAAGTTGAATTAGGTTGAATGAGACTGAAATTATATTTGGCTTACTAAACAAAAATAGAACTCCAGTTTTGTAATTGGCAACTTTTTATTTCTGGAAATTTGTAAGGTTTGGTTTACAGCGGTTTATTTCATACAAATAATTCGCACAAAAATTGACAACTACAGAACTAAAGCTTATTTTTTACTTAATAATGTCAAAAAATTTTCGATTTCTTTCAAAACAGTTTATTCTTTTGTAAATCTAAAACAATCTGATTTTCAACGAAATGTGTGAAATCAATCAAACTTAAGCTGTTACCTACGCTACAGTGATCCTTATTGGAGTAAAAAATGATACTTCCCGATACAAATCCTATGCAAATATCAACTTGCAAAACATTCTCCTTTTCTTTCTTTTTGGTCAGCTGACATATTTTCTAAATCTATTCAGGAAACATGAGACTGGATGAAGAGGTGCGTGTGAGAGAATATGGCGTAGTAGAATATGAAAAGAAAAAATTGGAAGAAGAAAGTAGTAAATACAAAATCATTTTGGTTCTAGACAGACATTTTCCAATAAATGTTTTCGAGATTTTTTTTTCGTTTTTTCCGGAGCCACATAAGTAATTCAACACCCCGAGAAAACGCAAAAAACCACTTGGGTAGAATACAAAATCTTCGTTTTTCATCTTCCCGCTCCGTCGGATCTTGGGAATTTTTTCGTATCAAAATGAAGCCGAGAAAATAGAAACACACACATGTTTTTCCGTGTTTTTTCCAGGGCAATTGCACACGGGTTTTATTATTCTTAGGACTTGGCTCCGGCTATTGACTCCGGGGATGCTTCGGTAAAAAGCAGATGAAAGGATCCATCCCGGATGGATGATGTGCATAATGCATCTGTTTTCAGAATGAAGAAACGGAAGATGAAAACGGAAACCCGACGAAGAATTCAGGAGAGAGCTCTCTTGGTGGGCTCTCTCTCAATAAATGAATACGAAATTGAAGAATGGAGTGGAGGATGGAGAAGAGGAAGAAAATAAGGGTTGGAGAAACTCGAACTGAAGTATGGAGAAACGGAAGGAAGAGGTCTTCGAAAAGTGGATGTGGAACGGAGAATGCCTTTTTCTGGATGGGATATGCCTTGTGCCTCAAAAGAAAGAAGAGCCACCACCATCCTTTCCTCCCAAATTGGTTTACCTTCAAATAAAATTATGAGTAACGGCTACTGACGGAAGGAAACATTGGGAGGGGAGGACAAAAGCAGATGACAGAGCGTGATGTACCACAGACGCTTCTGAACAAATTTGTTAGAGAGCTCCGTGTCCGCGGAAAAAGGTCCTATTGTTAGTACGCTCGGCGCAACTTACGCTTCTTCTCCTCACGTCTTCCGCAACTAAGAAAAAGAGCGAGGACTACATGAGGGCAAAAAAGAAACATAAGAAAGCCGAGAAGGATGAATGATACTTGCTGAGCGTTGGTTAATAGCCCTCTGGGCAAAGTGTTGCCATACATATACACTTGGTGCTCATCTTAACGTCAACAGGGACAAAAAATCAAGAAGTTACTTAGCTTTTGTTGTTTAGGAGAGGAAAATGCTTGAAGGGGGAGTCTTCAGAAAAAGTCTTCAGAAGAAAAAAGGAAAGAAAGGCAATTTCTTTTTTCTTCATTTCCGGGTTAATCTCATAACGTAAAACGCGAGGAGTTGAAAACAATAGAAAGTTGAAGCAACCAAGAATCGAATGTTTCGGCCCACATATTGTGCACTTTTTCGCCCCACAGACATACGTTCATTTATCAAATGGGCATAAGTGCGCTTTATGTCGTCAAGTCATGCAACTAACCCCTCCCAGCAGCCCACCCATCCAGAAACGAAGAACACAGAAACTTGGGGATTTAATGGTGTGTTGAGAGAAGACGAAAAATAACGGAATAAATATCGGAAAACATTCTTCACTAATGGAAATTGAATTAGAACATCATCCATTTTTGCCGTTTTTTGACTATCTGTGGAAAAGCCAAAAACTACTTTTTCAAAGACACTGAATACTTGAAAGCCAGCAAGAGAAAAGAATCGTAAAATTGTCAAAAATATGTGAAGACAGCTCAAAATGGAAAAATGTGGAGGATGAGACTGAGCGGCTGCTGCTTTTGCTCAAAAACAGAAATGAGACGGATGGCATGGCAAAGAAGAAGCAGAATAAGAAAGAGAAGTATGAAAACGACGAAGAAGGACCGAACACTACTTATTCACTAAAGCTCTTGCTGTGAATGGCAGTGCTAAACACTCTTTTTCTTCCTCTTCTAGTGCTCTCCTTCAGCGTTTGCCCCATAAAAATCGACTCCAATCTTCTTAATGTACTCTTCTCTCTCAGATAGGAAGTTTTGATGTTCGTGTTTCACACATCAGAAAGTGAATCGGTGGGGTTGGGTGGAAGAAGAAAGGGCTGGCTATCGGACGGGTGACATAAGGGGGCCAT